GTGAGAGAAAGAATTCGACAGGTCAATAACAGCATTGCTAGCATCTGACATTAGTTTGGACACAATTTTAAGATTGTCTTGTCAACACTTGGTCTCTTATTCGAGACAATATCATCTTAGAGCCCATTATTCATGGAATCACCTATATTTCATTTATTTAACTCAAATTGTCGGTAAAGAGTCATGTTTGTGCTGAAGTATTCGTATTTTATTATGGTTTTCCATTGAATCTGCCCGCAAAATGGCGATTCCTTCACATGCATTTAGAACACAAAACTACAGACTATGGAACCTGGAGTTGTAGTAATGGCTGGGAAGGAGATGCTAGAAAAACAAAGCCGTGAGCATTAATTGAGAGTGATACACTGATTGATAGCGATACACTGGCCATTGAATGGTTTGATAAACAATGTTATGGAGGTTCCAAAGTGTTAGGACGTCACTTCTGATCAGTGAGGAATATTGACAAAAAAAATTTAAATGGGTAAAATGTGATGATGCCTATGCATTCGAAGTTTCGAATTAAAGCATTTCCCTATGGAATGACATCTTTGTTGTTTATAGTTGGATGATGAATATCCAATTGTCACGATAGTTTTGGAATCATTTGGAATTTGAATAAATTATTCTTGTCTAATTCTACAGTTCTTAAAGCTCCTTACATTTGTTCTCATCGAACCTGATCATGCACAATCTAATTAAAATTAGGCTTGTATAATTTTCGCTCCTCTACGATACGCTTCAATACAAGTATTGTATTGAAGCGTATCGTAGAGGAGCGAAAATTACAAGTCTAATTTTAATTAGATTGGATCATGCAGTAATTGAAGCTGGTGAGTGAGAGATTCAATGTGGTATAGAATTGAACAGCTTCCTGTCAAAGTCAGGGAGTAATTAACATGAACTGTTCCCTTAAAGAGTTTAAGGTTTCATATTAATCGGGATATGTTGTCAATAACTTGGTAACTTTTTGTTAAATTTGATCATTAAGCCAAGACATGAATCAGCAACACAATTAACGACTCATATACTTAATTGAAATATGATATTAAGTGCGATTAGTGTTACGTTTCGACATACAGATTGACGCTCAAAGTTATTAATCGTACATTATAAAAGTACATGGAATACACTAAATTCCATCCGGTGTCTGAGGCATTTAGATAAATCAATGGCCAACTTCCATTTATCGAGGTGACATGAGTCTGCCTGGCCTATCTGCGTCCATCAAAAAGGGACCCCTCTTATTACTACCATTCATGATATACAGTAGTTCTTTGCAAAAGGGGGGGGGGTGCCTCGATCGTAACATTCCACACTGAACAACTGTATGCATGAATGGATATACATGTATCACATTTCTCAAACTTTATTAATTGCATTATCTAAAAAACGGGATAACAAACGACAATTTCAACAGTTCTCGAAATTCCATCATCGACACATCAGATAAAACAATAACTCGGTATTGTACTATAATAACTGAAATATTTACTTGCACAATAATGTCGGTTGTTGTGTCTTAGTTTCTTTGGTACAGTTTGATGTCCACAAAGCATTATGATTTTTATGTAAATAAAAAATATAAGCAAAAATGCATAGATGAACCTTTTTTACCTAGTGTTGATTGTAAGGTGCATAACATACCAAATGCCTCTTTCAGTACTTTTAGTACTTTGATAATTGATAGTATAATATGGTTTCTCCTACATCAGGTGATATATTGTAAATCACTAATTTTAATGGGAAGGTTAATTTTCGTGGGTTTTTTTTCGTGGTTTGAGGAGACACACAAATTCAAGTCCTCCACGAAATGTCAATTTTCCAATATAAAACAACTAAACAAGTCTCCGAACACGAAATCAAATCCCCACAAACCAATATTTCTTCCTCAAACCACGAAAAATTGACCCCGCGAAAAGACACTTGTATGTGATATTAGAGTAAATTTTGTTGTAGATATTGCATCTTTGATATGAGAGCAACAAAGCATTTGACGATAAATATATTCTTAACAATGTTTTATTATTTCAAAATAAAAATAATAAACAGTAACAAAATTGGATAATTGGGCAGTATGCCCTACATATACAAGCCCATGCCATGAGAAGGAAGGAATACAGGCTTGTTTAAAAACTGATGTCAGCTCGACAATCTACAGATATGAAAAGAAATTATTAAAACAGGATACTAAAATATTCCTATATCTAAAATACCTGATCGTTAAATGTAATACATCTAAGAAGTATTCAAAATGTTCGTGCTATTTGGGAATTTATTTATTTATATATTTACGACTCAGACACTTTTAAATCATTCATAATAATCTAAATCATGAATCTTGGAAATTGTTCGAATTATAAATATCAGTAATACTTACATTACATTTTATACTGGCGGCTGAAATAAGCTGGAACATGTTTAGCTCTGAGCAACATGTTTCACAGTGAACAAGACCATTCCTTTTAGATTTACTCATACATGTATTGTTTTCAAAAATATTTTTCAAATTTATGTCAATAAATCCGGTGAAAGGAAAGACTATTGCTAAGAAAATTTACTTGATGTAATAACGAATCGAACACGTTTAAAGTATAACTAGAACGTAGTCGCCATAAAATTACCATTGAATGGAAAATTGACAAGAAAGCAATGCTGATAGTGTGAAAATTTTTCACTTTATCACTGTATACTAAGTAATTCATCTCCAGGAAGATAATCCGACTCTGGTTGACACAATGTAGGGACAAGTTCAAACCGGTATTTTTCGAATTTGTCACCATATTTCCACCGAGCGCTTGATGACCTTCTGACCCTGGAGCTCTTCCTCTCAAACTTATCTGTATTTACGTCTGTTTCAGATTTATTGTTTGAACTTCTTTCATTGCGAATCTCTGTATCATATTCACTAATATCTTGCCTTGGAATACTTATATACGAATAACTTGAGTTTGATTCTTTCCCATTACTCCCGGGTTTCCAATCGAGCGCTTTGAAAGTGTTCATGGTAGGAGGGGAGATTCGGGGGCGCTTGAGAGGAAGATTAGCTCGAATATAGTCAATATGGTGTTTCTTTTTAAGATGCAGTCGTCTGTGAAAATTGTAGAACGACAAAAGTAAAATAATAAACATCACAACCACAACCAAAATGGGCGCCAACACTCCGAAAATCGTGCCCAACTTGAGATTTTTGTCTGACATCTCATCGTCAAAATTGTTCACAGCATCCTGTGCTGTGATATTCATCGTCGAATCAGTGTACGTATCAAATAGCACTCAGTCTCCGAATCCCATGTTCTCTGGAATAAATCACGAAACTAGAAATGCGCATCGCTGAATTGTCTCGAGACATTTCCAAGAATTGCATTTAGAGGCGCAATTTAACAATGTAAAGGTGCCTATTTACATTTTCATCATCATCTAAGGACAATCTCGAACCAAAAAACAATTCTATCACATCCCAGAGTCATGCACTTCATGACACAGAATTATTCACTTAAATAGTATATAATATTACAAGACACGAATAAGCGCTGGCGGAGCACTCTGAAGTGAGAACTACCATGCAATGCAGATGTTTGCATTTTCCAGCTGTTTTCATTAATCTAATGCACATTCCTCGCCGCAAAATAACCTGTTCGCCAAAATAATTACATCTAATGAAAACACTAATAATATCCGGGAAAATCCCACACCACGATAGTCTCTTTGTCCTATTTTGATGCTACATCCTCTCCAGGAATTGGAATTTGATCTGAACGCGTCAGTTACGAAGAGATTCTTTTGCCAATATATCACTCCCTATTACCTCGAACAGGTAGCATCTTCAAACATTAATTTCTATAGGCGGAGGCAATATCTCTCAAAATCAATTCTACGGTTATCGATCGAAATCACGCGAACTGCGAGACACTGAGCCAGGGAGATGTTGAGATGCGCAAACTTGATGTTAGAGCGACTAAGGAATTGTTTATACGCCCCACATCGATATCCAATAATTATTTTCTTAATCTCCCCACATCCAAACATAATTTAGACTGACCTCCTTTTCTTTGTTCTTTCCAGACATGCAGGATATGCTGCTTTATTATTTGAACTCTCAGGAACATATATACACATGTACGTATAGGCTGCATGGCATTTATATAATCATAAACTATGATGAAATATCCATTCATGTTGTTCAAACTTAAGGTATTCAATGTATAATGAAAGGATATTGAACAATTTTGAATCATTTTAAACTACTTAAATATGTATTGCTAAATAAAGATGAAAGTGAAATGAACCAAATTCACATGACTGTTAACATACAAGAAGCCAACCATTTTGCACCTTAAATGTGTTTGAAGAGTTATCTGCCCTTGATGAAAAGAAGAAAATTTTAATTTTGTCAAAATATCTGTGGTAAATGTTTAATTTTATTTAAGATTTTAATAAAAAGAGAGTTTATGCATATTTTCACCAAGAGATTTGTATGAAGTTCAAATTACTTTTAACAAAATCTTGTTCACACCTGCGCTGCCCATAGACTTCAATGTAAAATTCAAGGCGCAATTAATTGGACAATTATCAAAATTTTGTAAATTCCTTTGGTGGAGTATTTTTAATTGATAAGACCTTCAAAATGCTACCCTGATTAAAAATATCAGACCATTCGTTTATTAGGTAAAAAATATGGTCGTTATACATTGGATACCTTAAGAAAGAGTGCGTTCTCTTAATTAGGAAAAAATTATCGAATTTTTAATTCCAAAGCAATTAAAGTATTTAAAATTAAAAAAAAATATTTTTCTTTTATAGGATTCTTCGTGTGCTAATTAATTCATATATATCATATATAATTAGAACCAGGGAAAAAAAAACAAATACCATAGGAAAAAAAATCCAAAAATCAAAACTAATCTCCATTTCTCCGAGACGTTGAGTGATAATGAAGAGAGAGAGAGAGAGAGAGAGAGAGAGAGAGATTTTGAGACGCTTTTCTTATCGGGATCGGCGTTCATAAGTTCTCACTTCCGATTATTTTCTCGAGCCACATTTCGCCAGACTTTGCAACAAATCACGAAAGAAACATTAGGTTTATGAGTCAGAATGCCACCAAAGAAGAATGAACCTGGCAAAAAGACAATCGAGAAGAAAAAAGAAAAGGTTATAGAGGTAAATCACCCAACCCTGTCTTGAAATATCTCCATAATGACAGCCAGATAACACAAATATCATCATCATATGAAACTAGGTTGACATCAATTTATAAATTTAAGGTAGGCGTATTTTTTGGAGTATGTATAAATATTTTGGTTTGTTAATTGCTTATAATTATTATCAAAATATTGAAAATTAAATTTGAAAATCATAAAGATGGGACCATTATTTTGAAAATATTTGTTTGACATGTTTGATGAGAAGGTTCAAAATGTTTGGAAGGTTATGGCAGCCAGGGACTGTATTCTCTTTAGAGAAGTGGACAGGCTTTTGCCTACATCAACTTCTCTTCGCAAGCCTTCATGTTTTGATTTTGGAAAACGTATAAATTTAGAACTGGTGATGACCTACGCTGTCTGACATTTCGTCTAAAATATGCCTGAATGTATGTAACAGACCAGGGGTAGAAACTCCCTAAAAATACAACTCGCAAATAATTGCAAGTTCCAATTAAGTGAACTCGCAATTTCACATGACTACTCGCACATTTTAAAATAAAAGCTTTTTTAGATTTAAAATTAAATACATATAACAGAGTTTCCGAAAACCAAATATTTCTATCAGTCATTTGGACTGATGACTTTATGTGTTCTAAAGTCCGAAGCAAATTCTATCAGTCTGAAAAAAATTGAGTATATTTCATGTTGTAATTAAAAAGAAATTGGCATTGGTTTGTAAACCTTTCCGGGATCATTACAACACCGATTGTGAGACGACGGGTATGCAGTTAAAAAGTTCAAGTACTAGCCCATGGGCTAGTGGCAGCAATAAAGTTACAAGCCCCAAATAAAAAGTTGCTAGCTGAAATATGTGTGTGGGGGGGGGGGGGGGGCAACTAATATGAAAAAAAAGTTTATTGTTGAAAAAGTCGGGGTCTTAAGGTCATCCTTTTTAAAATTGAAAGTTAATTATCATTTGTAAAATTGAATCATGTATAAATTAATATTTATGATAGAAAATAAAAATGAATTTAAATAAATTATCTTCCCTTTTTCTGGGCATTGCACTTACTCATCTAAACTGAAACGAAAATCTTTTTTTTTTCCATCTTTAATAATTAAATGCATTGGAACTATATTTTATGTAAATCACATCACACTCGTCTTTCAGTTAATTGAGTGATCGTAAATAATTAAACGAGATATCTGCATGTGTTTACCATAAACAGAGGAATGGAGGAAATTCGGATTATGAAAAAAAACGATCGTTTTTAAAACTAAAAAAGTCAGGTAATACTGCAAAATGGATAAGATTATGGAGATTAACGAACACTAGATCATTGTGCCTGGAAATTTTTCATTTATTGGGAATTTAAAAGCAAAGAATGAGTGAAAATACCAGTAGTGCTTTTCATGTATCTCATTGGTAGTTTCACTTTTACTAGCCCAAAGGGCTATCTCCGTGCAGAAAACTACGAGTCTGACCCCCAAAAATGGTAGTCCTTGGTGTCAAGCGATCCTGGAGACATTGCAATAGATCAGAGTACAATTAATTAGAATAATCTAACTGTGTCTCAAGACAACAATCAGTCATGCGGACCGGTAGTATAGCGAATTGCATCGGACATTTCAATTTTCTATCAGTTTTGCCGGTAGGACCGATGGTTTTCGGAAACTCTGATATATCTTAAGGATAAGTAACTACTGTTAAATAAACAAAATGCAACTGCAATCTCACTGTGTTTTATTTATATTATATTGAATTGAATCAAATGTAAAGCATTTTTTTCTGTAAAATATATACAAATTATATAATTTTGGGCCACTTTCAATGCATGTTTTTCCCTCCAGTTTTTCTTGATTTACTCTTGATTTTTCTTGATCTAAGTATAAAAAATTGAGTAAAAAAAATCAACTCACAAGTTTTTGCGAGTTACTATATTTTCAACTCGCAATTTATATATTCTAACTCGCATTTTGCGAGTAATATATAGTGAATTTCAAACCCTGCAGACGTGTTACATTAACGATTTCAACATAAATAAACACAAATGTCACAAGAAAACCACCCTTTACAAGTTGTTAATCCATTTTTACAAGCTCGTCAGAAATGAAGGTTTTTGCAATGTTTTGATCTATAGCTCTCTGTTGGTCTGTCTTATTTTCTCTACCAGTGAGCTCCATTTCTTCTGCAGCTAGACATTTCATTAAATTAATGATGATAATATTGAATATAATTATTTAATGTAAAAAAAAGGTGTAAGCATATACAAAGCACATCTTTGGGAGAAACTGTCAGTGAGCAAAACTGACTCGGATACTGAGATTATCATTTGGAATGCTATTTCATAGTATTTGGTTGATAATCATATGTCTAGATACCGAGACAATAATTGTTGTAATTTCATATTGTAATAATTAATGCAATAACACTACATAAACTACTTTCTTAGTCTTCCTTTAAACCCCCCCCCCCCACCACCACCACCACCACCAAAAGAGGGTGATAGTTATTTTTCTTTGGTCAAATGAAGGTTTGCAGCACTACGTGATTATTCTAACACTGTACACACTAAAACAGACAGTTAAGACAAATATTTAAGGATTTGATAATGACTTTTAAAACTGATGCTTACATCAGCGTGATTAGAGGTAAAATATTTGTGTGAACATCCCAAGCAGTTCTGGCTGCGGTATCCAAAACAATAAAATGATACATGTATTATAAGATTGCTAGTGTTTTGAGTGTTCCCACTGAAAAAAATGGTTTAGTTATATATCTTTATTAATTTTTTTTTTTTTATAAAAAAAAAAAATTCATCTTTAAATAGTCAAACCAGTATTGTTAAAATGTGGGATGGACTTTTCATGCTTACCATTTCCAAAAAAAAGAAGATATTTTTTTGGCTTGAAACATCATTGAGTATCACAATTTTAATTTCAAAAATAGTAATATGCAATTTTTTCTTTATAATTTTTGTTACCATGACAGCAGGTTGTGTTATTTGCTTTGAAAAATATATATAAGTACAAACTGTATTTTTAATCGTATTAAGTATTTATAAGCTGCTATAATTTTCATAATCAATATCAACTTGGGCAAGGAAATCTAACAATTTTTATATTTTGATAAGATATATGTCAAAATTGTTTATTTTATGTTTGAAATGACTGATAAAATGCCAAATTTTTAATAGGACAAAACTTTTGGTTTGAAAAACAAGAAGGGAGCCAAACAGCAAAAGTACATACAGAATGTCACTCAGCAGGTCAAGTTTGGAAACCAGAAGGCCAGTAAATTGGTAAGTAGTTTCATTTGTAGTGTATGCAGAAGGCCAGTAAATTGGTAAGGAGTTACATTTGTAGTGTATACAGAAGGCCAGTAAATTGGTAAGGAGTTACATTTGTAGTGTATACAGAAGGCCAGTAAATTGGCAAGGAGTTATATTTGTAGTGTATTAATTATTATTGATATTACAACACTTTATATATTTTATATAGCTGCAGCAGAGACACTGTTTTAAGGAATGTTTATTAAAGTTTTGTGAGTGTTATTGTTTGCTGCCCTATATTGTTTTATTTCCATTAACCATTTGGTATCCTCATTGTGAAGTCACTTTTAAAAGCATGAGTTTCTTCATGTTTATTTCTGAGTGTGACTATATATGAAAATGGCATTCATTTCAATTTCATAGTTGGTTTAGTAAAAATACAAAACAAATGTAAAATTTTAATATGTAAAGGTAAGGCTTATCTGAACCAAATTCTGGAATTATATGAAACTGTACCAAGGCATATGCACTGAGGTTTTTGGTGTATTTGGTGAACAATTAAGAAACTTGTGAATATCTTTCAAAATACTAAATGTTTTTCCTTGTACAGTCTTGATTTCAGAAAAATTGGTACAAATTTAGAAAATATCAAGATACATTATTCTGTAAATTTAAAACTTAAAAATGGATTGTAAATCAAGGTGCTACTTTTCTCGTCCTTTTCTACAAGTACAAACCAGAAGAGCTACAGTATTATTAGAGATTTCATTTTTTTTTTTTAAATTGAAAATGTGCTAAATGATTTATATTTTAATTTTAAAGTGTTTGCAGAACAGTACTATCACTTGTTCCATGTCTCATTAGACTTGTACTGTATATTAAGGCACAGTTGGAAGCAGAGAAGGGTAAAAAGAAATTGGACAAGAAAAAGGAAGCAGAAGAACTGAACACTTTGTTCCGGCCAGTACAAACAATCTCCAAAGGTAGAAATTCAACTGAACACTTTGTTCAGGCCAGTACAAACAATCTCCAAAGGTAGAAATTCAACTGAACACTTTGTTCCGGCCAGTACAAACAATCTCCAAAGGTAGAAATTCAACTGAACACTTTGTTCAGGCCAGTACAAACAATCTCCAAAGGTAGAAATTCAACTGAACACTTTGTTCAGGCCAGTACAAACAATCTCCAAAGGTAGAAATTCAACTGAACACTTTGTTCAGGCCAGTACAAATAATCTCTAAAGGTAGATATTCAACTGAACACTTTGTTCAGGCAAGTACAAACAATCTCCAAAGGTAGAAATTCAGCTGAACACTTTGTTCAGGCCAGTGCAAATAATCTCTAAAGGTAGATATTCAACAGAACACTTTGTTCCAGCCAGTACAAACAATCTCCAAAGGTAGAAATTCAACTGAACACTTTGTTCAGGCCAGTACAAATAATCTCTAAAGGTAGATATTCAACAGAACACTTTGTTCCAGCCAGTACAAACAATCTCCAAAGGTAGAAATTCAACTGAACACTTTGTTCAGGCCAGTACAAACAATCTCCAAAGGTAGAAATTCAACTGAACACTTTGTTCAGGCCAGTACAAACAATCTCCAAAGGTAGAAATTCAACTGAACACTTTGTTCAGGCCAGTACAAACAATCTCCAAAGGTAGAAATTCAACTGAACATTTTGTTCAGGCCAGTACAAACAATCTCTAAAGGTAGAAATTCATCTGAACACTTTGTTCAGGCCAGTACAAACAATCTCTAAAGGTAGAATTTTAACTGAACACATTGTTCAGGCCAGTACAAACAATCTCTAAAGGTAGAAATTCATCTGAACTCTTTGTTCGGACAGTACAAACAAAGGTAGATTCTTAATAATCACACAATAGATTGAAGCTTAAAACTGCAGTTACCTAAGACTCCAGAATATCTCGGAGATTTATGGCACTCCCACTGAGTGTGAGATACCTAGCTTTGAGATACTGAGCTAAGAGATACTGTGTTTGTACATGGACATATTGCAGATTCAAAAATTCAAAATGTGTCACCCTTTTATAAAAGACATATCAGGATTCCAAACTTAGGATTTAAAATTTCTTCTATTAAACACGTGTACATGAATAAAAATTGTTGAACATGAATCAGAATTGTTTTTATTTGCTCATTGTGATTAAAATACCAAAATTAAATCCACAATTATGATTGTCGAAGAACTAACAGTTTGGAATTTGTGTGATTTGAAAGGGGGATATCAAATTTACTTTGAAGTTAGCTTCATTAAACAAGATTAGCTAGTAAATGAAAATATTAGGTAGATGAAAATCACCATTTATAGTTGATGTTTTTCTGATTTTAGGTGCTGATCCCAAATCTGTGTTGTGTGCATTTTTTAAACAAGGACAGTGCTCTAAGGGAGCTAAATGTAAATTTTCACATGACCTGAACATTGATAGGAAAGGCGAGAAGATCAATATATACGCTGATTCAAGGGAGGATGGTAAGCAAACTTTGATTATTGATGAATTACTTTACCGTAATTATGCTTATTTCCTCTGGGTCAGAATTCTGCAGATTTCCTCTTTAGGTTTAATCCATAAGTTCAGATGTTTTTATGTGAGGCTGAAGTTTTATAAACATAACAAAATGTCATTCAGACATCTTTGTTTTGAGGTTTATTGCATGCTAAGCAAACATGACACTGATGTACATAGGGTAACAGTTATACATGACTTGTAAACATAGATGGATTCAAACCTCATGGCTATAACATAAATTATAACTGAAATCCAGCTGTTGTCCAAATTTTGCAGACATATAAAAACATGATTCATATACTGTATATAGGGAAATTTTTGTCCCCGTTTTATTTTCGCCCCTTTCGCCCTACTCTATGCCCCGCCATGAATATGGCATATAGTGTTTGTCATGTCCGTCTTCCGTCCTTCTGTCCTTCCGTCTGTCCTTCCGTCACACTTTGCGTTTAGCTCTGTTCAAAGATCAGTTTCAAAGAAACTATCCAAGATATTTTTAACAAACTTCATATGCTGATAGATATTGATGAGAGCTATGCAACTGCATCAACATTTTTTGACCTTGACCTTTCCTTTGACCTTGACCTAACTTTTCTGAAATTAGTGTTTAGCTCAGTGTTAAAGATACCATTCAAGATAGTGTAATCAAACTTCATATGTTGATACATACTGATGTAAGCTATTCAACTGCATCAACATTTTTTGACCTTGACCTTTCTTCTGACCTTGACCTCACTTTTCTTGAATTAGTGTTTAGCTCAGTGTTAAAGATACCATTCAAGATAGTGTAATCAAACTTCATATGTTGATACATACTGATGTAAGCTATTCAACTACATCAACGTTTTTTGACCTTGACCTTTCTTTTGACCTTGACCTCTGAATTGGTGTTTAGCTCAGTTTTAATGAAACCATTCAAGATATTTTTAACAAACTTCATATGCTGATACATACTGATGAGAGCTATTCAACTGCATCAATATTTTTTACCTTGACCTCTCCTTTGACCTTGACCTCACTTTTCTTAAATTAGTGTTTAGCTCAGTTTTAAAGATACCATTCAAGATAGTGTTATCAAACTTCATATGCTGATATATACTGATGAGAGCTATTCAACTGCAGCAACATTTTTTGACCTTGACCTTTCCTTTGACCTTGACCTCACTTTTCTTATATTAGTGTCAAACTTCATATGCTGATACATACTGATGAAAGGTATTCAACTGCATCAATATTTTTTGACCTTGACCTTTCCTTTGACCTTGACCTCACTTTTCTTAACTTATTGTTTAGCTCAGTTTTAAAGAAACCATTCCTAATATTTTTATCAAACCTCATATGCTTATACATACTGATGTAACATTTTCAACTGCATCAACAATTTTTGACCTTGACCTTTCCTTTCACCTTGACCTCACTTTTCTTAAATTAGTGTCAAACTTCATATTGCTGATACATACTGATGTAAGATATTCAACTGCATCAATATTTTTTCACCTTGACCTTTCCTTTGACCTTGACCTCACTTTTCTCAATTTGTGTTAAAACGTTGTATTACTAATATACCCTCGGCAGGGCATTCATGTCCTATGGACATATTTCTAGTTTATTATGTTTTTGCCATTAAATGTATATCACTTACAGGTATTTTACTCTATGTTTCATATTGCTGCAACATATTATGAATTAGGCCAAAAAAAATTAATTACTTGGTTCTCAGGCCAGTTTTCTCAAAAATAAATGCAGGAGGGAGGCATTTTTTTTTCCTTTTTATCTCATAAAAAACAGATGCGGGATTTTTTATTTTTTTTTTATAATTTCAAAACTAGCAACTTTTAATCAACAGTGCTTCAACATCAAGTGTAGAAATCAAGATAATTTATTTCCTGCTTCTTTCTCTTTTCTCTTGCATCTTCTACATTCTGATGATTCATGTAATGAAACGACGGCATCCTAAAAATCAGACGTGTTAAACTTACAGAACCCAACACTTTTAGTGATGCATCTGGTCAATTGCTTATGTAACATGACTAACCTAAGTGTTTTAGCACTATAAATAGCGCTTACGATTTTATTCAACATGACATCAGATATTTAATCTTTTTTATAATTGATAAGAAGGTCTATATACTGTAGACACACTTTTTTTCTGAATTGTATTAATTTATGCTCTGTATCTGTATGTATGTGGTTACACATTCCCCCCAAAATTTGTCACAGTGTAATGAAAGTGTGTTTTAGAATGGCAACAGAAAAATGTGCATAATCTTTGACCCACAGATTAAATGGAAATTGTTATTCCACAGAATAATGACGCCATGCAAAAAAATGTGTTATGGTATTCCAAAGTGTCCTTAATTACTAGTTAAGATCAATGTTATGATCCCTCAAAATCTACAAATACTTTCATAACAAAGGAGACTTAAATATATTCATAATGTAGTCTCCATTTTGTTTGGTTGTTGTCTTTTGAATCAGTGTGATTTTCACTTTCACTGCAGATACAATGGAGAATTGGGATGAAGATCAGCTCCGAGATGTGGTTAACAAAAAACATGGAGAACATGAAAAGTCACTACCCAAAACCACAATTGTAAGTCACTACCCAAAACCACAATAATGTAAGTCAATACCCAAAACCACAATTATAAATCACTACTCAAAACCACAATTGTAATTCACTACCCAAACCACAATAATATAAGTCACTACCCAAAACCACAATTCTAAGTCACTACCCAAAACCAAAATAATGTAAGTCACTACCCAAAACCACAATTGTTAGTCACTACCCAAAACCACAATAATATAAGTCACTACCCAAAACCACAATTGCAAGTCACTACTCAAAACCACAATTGTAAGTCAATACCCAAAACCAAATAAGTCACTACCCAAAACCACAATTGTAAGTCACTACCCAAAACACAATTATAAGTTGATACCCAAAATCATAATTGTAAGTCATGACCCAAAATCACAAATGTAAGTCACTACCCAAAATCACAAATGTAAGTCAATACCTTAAATCACAATTGTAAGTCACTACCCAAAGCCAAAATTGTAAGTCACTACCCAACACCACAATTGTAAGTCACGACCCAAAATCACAACTGTAAGTCACTACTCAAAACCACAATTGTAAGTCACTACCCAAAGCCAAAATTGTAAGTCACTACCCAAAACCACAATTGTAAGTCACTACCCAAAACCACAATTGTAAGTACAACTACAGTAAACTATCCAAAACCACAATTATAAGTCACTACTCAAAACCACAATTTTAAGTCAATACCCAAAACCACATAAGTCAATACCCAAAACCACAATTGTAAGTCACTACCCAAAACCACAATTGTAAGTACAACTACTATGAACTATCCAAAACCACAATTGTAAGTCATATCTCAAAACTCAAGTCATATCTCCAAAATCACAATTGTATGTAAATAAACACGAGAAAAGCTTCTCAGAAAGATTACTTATGTAGCCTCAAGTAAGCTTCATGACTATGTTAACTTTTGTAGTTTAAAAGGACAATGAACTGTTTACTTTGATAAACTTATCTCATATATTTTTATGTAGATATGTAAATATTTCCTGGAAGCTGTGGAATCAAGCAAATATGGCTGGTTTTGGGAATGTCCAAATGGAGGGAAGAAATGTCACTACAAACACTGTCTACCCCCAGGTAATGATCCCTGTCTCAGGTAACGATACAAACATTGTCAACCCCTAGGTAATGGTCAGTGATTCAGGTAACAGTACAAACACTGTCTACCCCTAGGTAACGATCCCTGTCTCAGGTTATGATCTTTGTCTCAGGTAATGATATAAGTATTGTCTTTCTGCAGGTAATGATACCCATTAGTTAAGATTTCCTTAATATGAAAAAGTATTTTTTTTTATTTTATTTAGTTATACACAAGCTACTTCTTTCACAGGTTTTGTTTTAAAGAAAGATCAAAAGAAAGAAGAGAAAGGAGAAACAATTACGATAGAGGAGTTAATTGAAAAAGAGGTTTGTGATGCAAGTTAGGCTTGCTTTTTTGTTAACATATATACACAATGTTTTCTATTATCTTTATGAAATAATGCCATTGCATAAAATGATTTTCAAGAACACCATAATAAATTCTATGCAAATGAAGAACAATTTAATCTGATATTACTGTTTACAAATTTGATTTTGCTCACTTAATTTTATGATGCATTTTAACAAAATTTGTTATTGTTTTTGCTACATTTTTGAATGTATTGTTTTAGTCCTTTTTGATAACTTTTGTAATTTAAAAAAGGGCAATGTTGTTTGCAAGTTTGATGGGACGATAATAACATGAGGCAAAAATAAACCTGTATACAGTATTTATTAGCTCATTTGAGCCAAAGGCTCAAGTAAGCTTTTCTGAACAAAATCTGTCCATTTTCTGTCATGTCATCATTGTTGTCGAAAACTTTTCACAATTTCATCTTCTTCTCCAGAATCACTGAACCAGTTTCCTTTTGTGATGGGATTCAAGTTTGTTAAATGAAGTGCCATGTCCTTTTATAAAGAGAGATGAATAAGAATTTTTGAAAATTTAATGGCATCTTATAAAAATCTTTTATTCAAGAACCACTGGGCCAGAAAAGATGAATTTTACCGGTAGTTGAAAGCTACCTTACATATTGTAGATTCAAGTTTGTTCAAATCATAACCCCGGGGGTAGGGTGGGACCACAACAGGGAATCAAAGTTTGAAGTAGGAATATATAGAAAAAAATCTTCTTTTTTTTTATTACAGCGTGCAGCACTTGGTGGTGGAACCACAAAAGTCACGTTAGAATCATTTCTTAAGTGGAAGGAAAGAAAGGTGTGTAGTGTGACAAAATTAATCAGTGTTAATTAGCTATATTTACATTCCACATGTATTTTGCTTATAAAGTGTGAGAAAAGCTACAGTATTCAAATCATCAAAAGACAGACAGGGGGTCAAAAGGTTAAAGTATGCTTTTTATTTTGACGTCACAAACGTTGAACCCCATGGAAGTGTAATGTTATAAGTGAAATTCAAAATTCATGCTCACATTGAAAACTAAATCACATTTGCGGTCAAGGCAAGGAGTTAAAAATGTTTGTTTGTTTGTATGTTGTTTAAAGTCCATCTTGAGTATTTTTCACTCATATGGAGACGCCACCACTTGCCGGTGAAGAGGTGCAAATTTTGTCCTATACTCGGCACTTACAGCCATTGAGCAGTGAGGGATCTTTTTCGTGCAATATAAGCATTGAATCATTATTCTTTGAAAGATATAGTCTCATAACTGCAACAGTGTGCAAACAAATTTTCATAACACACTAACATCACTCAATTTGTTTGCACACACCGTTGCAGTTATGAGACTATATCTTTCAAAAAACAATGATTCAATGCTTAATAATTAGACATGAATAATCTTTGTCATGAACATTCTGTTTACAAACAATCTTAGTCTAAGAATATTTTAATCATGGAATAATTACTGATTAAAGTTGTTGACAGATAATTAGTAGTGATTAAGTTTTCTGGGTTTTGTGACATTTTAATATGAGATTTTTGATGTTTTTTTTAACCAGAGGAAAGAGAAGATTGAGCAGGCTAAAGCTGCTCAAGAGAAGAAGAGAGCTGACTACAAAGCTGGCAAGGCATTTGGAGTAAGTTCTCATTTTTCACCAGCAGTTATAGCAAGGTTTACTGGAGTATATTCATAGTCAGATGTATAAGTAAGTCTTCTTAACATCTGTTGATGAATGTTACAGATTAGTGGAAGAGAGATGTTTGAATTTAACCCTGACCTTGTGGGTGAAGATGACGATGAGGCCACAGAAGGGGCAATAGAAAGAGAGCAGGATTCAGATGATGAGGCAAGTACTATAAATATAGCAAAATAAATCATTACCTGAACCAGGACAATCTAAAGATACATTTTTAAACTCAATTTAAATTTTCACAATTGTAAATTATAATAAAGTTTGTTTTCTGGCTTATAATAATTATGCTTTTGTTAAGACAGAACAGTAAGTCCAGATATTATAATTAGATAATATGTCAACTTTCTTGACTCATGATGGTTCACACAGAAATGAGCATGCATTAAGATTGATATTCTATTTATATGAACAAGAATTAAGATTGATATTCTTTTAAGAACTGAATTTAATTTTTGAGAATTCATGAGGACGTGAGCTACGACGCTTTACACCTGCATATTTATCATGAAGCATTAACGTGTGTACCTCATGAATTCTCAAAAATTAAATTTATATCTTATATTTACGGTATTTTTCTGATGACATATTTTTGTCATTCAACGATCATTTTTGAAAAAAAAAGTTTGCACTATTTTTTGACTTCAATTACCTCACAATGGAAATATTCCTACTCATCCCAAGGTAGATCATGAGAACATGAACTTTTTCCACTTTGCAAAGAATCTTAAGGAAAAATATTTGGAAATGTAAATATATTTATATGAACATACATTATGTTTGTTATTCTGCTTATATGAACATGCATTAGGATTAATATTCTATTTATATGAACATGCATTAAGATTGATATTCTATTTGTAAAGGCTGAAGAGAGAGTGAAGGTGCATGATATAAACCTTGAGTATTTAATGTCAGAGGCCCAAGAATCTGATGGCTCAGGAACCGTGGTTACGGAGCGCAAGTTTGAGGTCTCCTCAGGGGCAGGAGGAGAGCCTTCATCAGCGATGTCTAATAAAACAGGTCAGTGTTACAAAATAAGTCAATAATAATAACAAACAGGGTCAGTGTAATAAAACAGGTCAGTGTTACAAAATAGGTCAATAATTATAAGAAACAGTTCAGTGTATAAAACAGGTCAGTGTCACAAAATAGGTGAATAATTGTAACAAAGAGGATCAGTGTAACAAAACAGATCAGTGTAACAAAATAGGTCAATATATGTAACAAAAAGGGTCAGTGTAACAAAATAGGTCGTGTAATAAAACAGGTCAGTGTCACAAAATAGGTCAATATATGTAACAAAAAGGGTCATTGTAACAAAATAAATCAATGTAATGAAACAGGTCAGTGTTAAAAAATAGGTCAATCTTTGTAGCAAAAAGGGTCAGTTTAACAAGACAGGTCAGTCACACTTACAAAATAGGTCAATAGTTGTAACAAAAAATTTCAGTATAACAAAACAGGTCAGTGTAACAAAATAGGTCAGTGTAATAAAATAGGTCAGTGTTAAAAAATAGGTCAATATATATTACAAAAAGGGTCAATGTAACAAAACAGGTCAGTCTCACAAAATAGATCAATAGTTGTAACAAAAAGGGTCAGTGTAACAAAATAGGTCAGTGTAATAAAACAGGTTAGTGTTAAAAAATAGGTCAATATATAAAATAGGTCAGTATAACAAGACGGGTTGGTGTAATAAAACAGGTCAGTGTTGAAAAATAGGTCAATCACAGGCGCTTGACGTTTTTAACCTTTCTTTCCATAAATAAAAAATCCCCCATACTATAATAATAACAAGGTTCGTCACGGTCGCCATCTTGAATTTTTCAGTTCAGCTACTTCGCCTCGATTTTTAGTCTACAATGTGTTTAAAATTAACCGATACAACCGTTTCCCTCAAGTACTTACTTTAACTATGCCTCCACTTTTGGGCAATTCAACTCAAATCACATTAAATCCTCTCTAATTCCTAAAATGTCGCTTCAAACTCAGTCTACTGCTACCGATTCCGTAAAACTTGGAAAAGGGAGGCCGGAAGTTGATGTTAGAACGTCACAATCCGGGAAAGCCCTTTTCTGATTGGTGGATATCTTGAGAGTTATATTAATATTAAAATCGCGGTAAAAAGAGCTGTTTGATACTTGAAAAAAAAGGAGCTTGAGCAGTTCTAGACTACCGGTACGTATTATATAAATAACTTAGTAATATATATTGATACATCTATAGTCCCCAACTGTTTGCAAATTAGCCTAAAACTGTGTACTTTTTCAACTGCTATTTAAGAAACACTGACATATTAAGGCTGAATTGTATACACTGTATTTTACATACAGAGGCATAGTTACACACCTTAAAGTAAAAAGGGGGGGGGGGCTTAAATCCAAATAAAAATTCAATGATATTGTCAAAACATAAAAGCGTTTACAATCTAATTCTGAAATTAAGGAGGGGAGGTGTTCTGGTAGATTTTGAAAATAAATTTGATTGTCCTTCACTGACATGGAAATAAAGCTGGGAAAAAATTGCCAGCCCAGCCCCCCCCCCTCCGGAATCAATTGGTCCTTCCTTAACAATAAATGAATGGCAATATAATCTGTGAGGCCACCCATATAGGTCCCAGGCAAAGCCTTGATTGTGGTGGGGGAGGGGGGGGGGGGGAAGCTAGCTCCTGGTTGTACAAATATATCAATCACATTCTTGCAGGAAATAATATGGTATTTGGCTTTTCTTATGAAAGACAAGACAGTAATATTGTTTTTAACACGATGTTTAACTTTCTCGAAAACTTATTGTAAATGTACTTTAGGCATACAGAATCTTTTACCGCTACATTTGTATCGTCTGCTCTCTGTTATAATATGTATAATGTTCAGCAACAAGTATTTTAAGTTTTAGTAGCAAAAATAATTTTAAAATCATATACTACAGTTGCGGATCCAGGGATCTTGAAAGGGGGGCGACCAGTTTGGGGTCAGGGTAGGGGCCCACAACCACACACAAAAAAATTGCTTTATTAAATCTTATGTATATTTTGAACACAAAAGGGGGAGGGCGGGCCCCCTGCCTCCTCTAAATCCGCCAGTGTACTATTTGATCAAGCCATTTGACGATAATTAAACTTAATTTCTCAATGGTCTTATAGAATTATCAATGTGTTATAGAACACTTACTATAGATTAATGATTTATTGGATTTGGCAATGATTCAATAAAAGATTTCAAATAGACGTAATAATATAAAAATGACAATTACAAATGTAATAATGTCAAAATATTTGCCGGATGATGCTAATTAATACTTTTTTCTCTCAACAATCTCTCTCTTTCTCTCTTAGACCTAGATTTTTTTTAAAACGATGTGTAGTAACGCACTTGCGTACTTGCAGAGACAGCTACGCGCCTGTAGAAAGAGAGGACATGGAGGTTCAGTTATCTGGACCAGCTCACCACTGTGATGAAAATAAAACATACACATATTTATCCTTCTTTTTTAATGTTATAAAAGGATTTATCTAGGATGACTGACCTTGAACTACACAACGCAAAGAGTAGTTTAAAATTTTCATCGCTTCCAAACACTGAAAATAGTACCATTATAGGGAAGAAATATTTATGCCCGAATGCAAGGGGTCTGGTTTACACGAGAAATTAGTAACCAGAATTCCAGGACCAAGCATAATTTTTATTTCCTCGTGATTTCTTCTTCAACAAAATAAAAGAAAAAAAATCTTTCACATATTATTTGTGATGATTATGGAAAGCATCGGCCTGCTCTACATTCAACACGTCGAAAAAGTTTGTCACTGTCTTTGCATGATTTTTCCCGCGAAACGTCATATTTCTTTTAACCAATTAAATTTAAGTAGAGGGAATTCCCATAATTTACATAAAAACAACATCAACTTCCGGCCTCCCTTTTCCTAAGTTTTACGGAATCGGTAGCAGTAGACTGAGTTTGAAGCGACATTTTAAGAATTAGAGAGGATTTAATGTGATTTGAGTTGAATTGCCCAAAAGTGGAGGCATAGTTAAAGTAAGTACTTGAGGGAAACGGTTGTATCGGTTAATTTTAAACACATTGTAGACTAAAAATCGAGGCGAAGTAGCTGAACTGAAAAATTCAAGATGGCGACCGTGACGAACCTTATTATTATAGTATGGGGGATTTTTTATTTATGGAAAGAAAGGTTAAAAACGTCAAGCGCCTGTGAGGTCAATATATGTTACAAAGAGGGCAAGTGTAACTAAAAGGGTCATTTTAACAAAAAAGGTCAGTGTAATAAGGTCAGTGTAGCAGCCTGGGTCAGCGTAGCGAAATGGGTCTGTGTATTGACACAGGTAAGTGTATGTAGCAAAATAAGCCAGTGTAATATGACACGTGGTCTATATATTAAAACGTATCATTGTATTTAATAATAAGATAAATGCATCCAACAGAAAAGATCAATGCATCAAACAAAACATATTGATGTATTTAAGAAAAAAAAATGGTCAGTTTATGTAAGAGGAAAGGTAATTGTATCATACATACTTGTATCTTACAAGATAGGTCAGGGTATTTAAAGTAACAGGCCATTCATTGGAAATAGCAATATACAAGTCTTTGTATTTAACAAAACAGGTCCATAATTGATACAGACCAGCTAGGTCAGTGTATTGAAATTATAAAGATAATTGACGATGTTATATACAAATTCTGCAATATTTCAGAAAAAATACAATAATTTTAAAGTAGATTTATAATGAATACTTTTTTTTCACAAAACACAGCATTGTTAACAATAATACATGTATGTTTGACTGTATTCTGTACACTGAGATCAGTTTATAGCATCAAAATTCTCAGGGTTTTCAGAAATTTGCACTTGCTGATATTAAAATTAGTTTAAAGTTACTTTAACTTCTTGTCCTGAAGATGAATCTAAAAAGCTGGATGAAGCAGCTGCACTACCTGCAGAAGACAAGCCTGCCACAGAAACGGACGCCGCAATAGCTGCCGCGATGGCTGCCACAGTGAACGGTGAGGAGGTGGAGATTGATGAGGAACTTTTTGGTGGTGATGATATTGACGATGTGGAAGATGAACTAGACACTCTCGATCTAGATGATGAATAGCAGTAGTCTCCCTTGAATTATTTATCTGTTCTCTGTTTTCCTCAGATTAAATGCCTTAACATTTTCCAAAATGAATGCAGGAAAGAAAATCTTGCAATGAAGTCTGAATACCTAAATTGTGAAGGAAATATGGGTGTCTTATAATATACACTTCAGCTTTAGTTTAAATATTGTTACACAAGGAATCAAAAGATAAATGTTCTGAACAGGTTGATAATACTACATATCAAAAATGATATACTGTGGAATCATTTTAATTTGTAGGGGTCACTGTTCATGGACAAACAAAATTTATTTTTTGGTTATTGACATAATTTCTTGAGTAACTTGTATATACTGTAAACCAACTTTTATTTGCGACGACTTTATTTCGCGATTTACCGGGGATAAACTAGTTCGCGACGATTAATTTTCGCGATTAGGCCTATTTTTATCTGTTGTTCATAGAAAGAGAGACTTTAAGGACCGGTTCGCGGCGAGAAATATTCACAATGACGAGGCTCTCGCGAACCTCACGAAAATTTCTCGCACACAAATAAAAGTTGGTTTACAGTATAAAGGATGTGTTGACGAAATTTTGGTTTGTGGGGATGTAAATTCATAAGAAAGGGCTGCCAAGAATTCATGAACTGGACCTCCCACAAACATTGAGGATTCCACAGTGATTTCATAATACAAACATGTAGTTGTGATTGAAGTGTTTCTAAGGATTCCTTTATAAAATGAAAGAATAAAAAAGTTGTTCTATTATTAATATAAAAAGGTTTATAATGCGTTTTTTTTTTTTTTTTTTATAATAAAAGTTTAATTATTAAGTGTGAAAAAAAAAAAAATCTAACCTCCAATTATGGTAATGAATATATTTTGATGCCAAAAATGATTATTATTCTATGTCTGCATTTTATGAAAACAAAATCTATGCTGTATTTACATGTATTTATATAAATTTGCTGTTTGGTGTAGATTACAAAGTGCTGTTATGTGCATCAGTTCATAGTAGGTGCAATGTTTAAAAAGAGCAGAGAAAATTTCCCAAAACGTTTTAGTTACTTAGTCATGTTGATTATTGAGAGTATTAACTTAATGAATTATTTCTCACTCCCATGAAATCTGTCGTAGAAAGAAAATATAGTTGTGATTTCATTAAGAGTCACATCACTGTTTTGGTAACAACAGCTGTCTTACATCATAGGTGTAGGACAGCTTAATAAATGCCCAAGATTCTTCTTTAGATATGAAAATAATTCATTATAAAGTTCAGGTATGTAAAACAATGCAATGTTGAATATTATACGAGTGGATTTGGTTAGCAGAAAGGCAGTCGTAATTGGAAATTGAATAAACAATTATGATGTTTCATTTTCTCAGTTTTATGCTTCTGTTTTGCATATGTGGCACAAGATGGTCTTGGTAGACTCCTATTAATGGAATTTTACTTCCCATTAATGAAGTTTGAGAGGGGGAAATATAGGAATCACCTTCTCTGTCTGTCCATGCAATAGTGTCTGGACAATAACATCATAGGCTACTGGAGACAAATTGGAATCGTGTTCTTGACAGAAAGATTGCTTGTGACTTAGTTGATTATTATTATGACCTTAAAACCCAAAGTCATTTTGGCAGGTTCAAGGTCAAGGTCACTGGCAGAAAAAGTTTATTATTCTGTCCTTCAGTAACTTTCTAATGGAGTTTATGCCACACACAACTTGACAAGCATTATTTATGACCTGAGGTGTCATGGCCTTGACCCAGGGCCATTTGTACAAGGTTCAGTGGTTAAAAAATGTATAATTTCTGTCATGGCAATTTCTTGTATTGGAGAAACATTATCAGTTCATAAAGAAACAATAAGTATAACCTGTATCCAAGGTCAATTGAACAAGTTCAAGAAATATTGAAACCCATATTTGACACAGATTGCTTATGACATTGTGGTGTGTAACATCTTGTCCTATGGTAATTTGTGTGTGCCTCATTAATTTCATTTATTGTATTGTAGGCTGATTATGATATCATTTACCAAGAATATGCTAAATCAACATGTAGTACACATCACAGGTCAATGTAAGAAGTGTTTGAGTATTTATTTTCCAATGTAGTCGGGGATACATTTGCACACAGTCTCCACGCAGTGATAATGGTACTTGCTGTCATGACAACGACCAATGGCTGCACAGTCCAGTATATCGCTGCATGCTGTAAAATAACTCCACATTTTAATTACCCAGGTCTATTTTAAATGCATGCCAGTTTAAATTTTTATGCCCCGCCATGAATATGGCCGGGGCATATAGTGTTTGTCATGTCCGTCTTCCATCCTTCCGTCCTGTCTGTCTTTCCGTCGCGCTTTGCATTTAGCTCTGTTCAAAGCTCAGTTTCAAAGAAACTATCAAAGATATTTGTATCAAACTTAATATGCTGATAGATATTGATGAGAGCTATGCAACTGCATCAACATTTTTATGCCCTGCCATGAATATGGCAGGGGCATATAGTGTTTGTCAAGTCCGTCTTCCGTCCTTCTGTCTTTTCGTCATGCTTTGCGTTTAGCTCTGTTCAAAGCTCAGTTTCAAAGAAACTATCCAAGATATTTTTATCAAACTTCATATGCTGATAGATATTGATGAGAGCTATGCAACTGCATCAACATTTTTTGACCTTGACCTTTCCGTTGACCTTGACCTCACTTTTCTTAAATTAGTGTTTAGCTCAGTTTTAAAGATACCATTCAAGATAGTGTAATCAAACTTCATATATTGATACATACTGATGTAAGCTATTCAACTGCATCAACATTTTTTTACCTTGACCTTTCTTTTGACCTTGACCTCACTTTTCTTGAATTAGTGTTTAGCTCATTTTTAATGAAATCATTTGAGATATTTTTATCAAACTTCATATGTTGATACATACTGATGAGAGCTTTTCAACTGCAACAATACTTTTTGACCTTGACCTTTCCTTTGACCTTGACCTCACTGTTCTTAAATTGGTGTTTATCTCACTTTTAAAAAAAACATTCAATATAGTGTTATCAAACTTTATATATGCTGAGACATACTGATGAGTGCTATTCAACTGCATCAACATTTTTGACCTTTACCTTTCCTTTGATCTTGACCTCACTTTTCTTAAATTAGTGTCAAACTTCATATGCTGATACATACTGATGTAATCTATTCAACTGCATCAATATTTTTTACCATGACCTTTCCTTTGACCTTGACCTCACTTTTCTCAAATTGTGTTTAACTCAGTTTTAAAGAAACCATTCATATCTTTTTTTTTATCAAACTTCATATGCTAATATTGATTATTATACTTCTGTTAAAATGTTTCCTATATAAAGTTAAGAAGGTAAACTAACTATCTTTATAGTCTCAAAATTTCCACACATAGCAAAACTATACCCCGGGGTATAGTTTTTGCTATCCACCCCTCGGAAAATTTTCATGCAAGTTTTGCCGCCAAGTTTGATTTCCTGTAATCAATCTATAGACTTATGATGTCATCCTGACTTCAGTAGCATTGTGACGTCATCAGGATTTCAGCTCATTCTAACAGTGTTATCTTATTCCAAATACTTGTTCAAAACTTTTATAATTATTTTTTTTTTCATGTTTTTACTATCGAACTGTAGTATCAGGTAAATCCAACCCTTAGAAATTATGATGTACATCAGTATAATAAAACGCTTATCCACTGGCTGTGAGTGGGATAGCTCTTTCATCAAACCCTTGACAGGAACTATTTCCCTCGGGCAAGCCCTCGGGGAATAGTTCCTGTCACGGGTTTGATAAAAGAGCTATCCCACTCACAGCCAGTGGATAAGTGTATACTGATGTAAGCTATTCAACTGCATCAACATTTTTTGACCTTGACCTTTCCTTTTACCTTAAATTCATTTATTTTGAATTAGTGTTTAGCTCAGTTTTAAATAAACCATTCAAAATATTTTTATCAAACTTAATATGCTTATGTATTTGTGAGAACTATTCAACTGCATCAAAACCGTTTGACCTTGAGCTTTCCTGTGACCTTGACCTCACTTTTCTTAAATTTGCATTTTGCTTAATTTTAAAGAAACCATTTAAGATATATTTATGTAAGCTTAAGCACTTATACATAATTTGGTGAGAATTTATCATCTATATCCAACTTTTTAGATTTTAATTTTAAAGAAACTATTCAAGATATTCTCATCAAATTTCATACACTAATACAAATTTTCATGTTGCATTTCTAATATACCTTCGGCGGGGCATTCATGTCCTATGGACATATTTCTAGTTTGGTATGGGAATAAAAAAAATTATTATTATTTGACTCTTACATATTACATTTAAAACACCGCAAGGTCAATGAGAGAGATTGATTTGGGGGGGGGGGGGGGCACATTTATTTTTTGCGTATTGGTTCATGTAGATGTAACATATGAACACGATCATATCCACATCTCAAGGGAGTTGAAAATTGAATTACTCCTTTTATTCCCATTTATGACAATAAAATAAAGATTTTTGAACGTATAGAGTACCCCTTCCCCCCTTTCAAATTACTACAACCAGGAGAGAGATTTGAGGTTAAATGACCTCACAAGAGAGATAACTCTTACTAGAATAAATTACCATTATTCCTTTAAAGAATGGTATAGTTAAGCTTTATCCAATATTTCACTTAAAGCTGAACACGATTAGTAAAAGGAATTTGTCCGCAATATTCTTTAATTTAAACAATATTTTATTCACAGAAATGAATAGGATTGGGCAGCAGGCTCAGCCTATTTTAGCCCTCTCCCTAGATCAAGGTCAGGGTGAATACATAATAAATTAATAATTGAAGCTAAAAGTAAGAATGTACAAAGAAGAAAAAAAAGAATAATATTCTTTTATTCAGTAGTTATATCTGAGGGCCCCTAGTTGTCACCTGTGTGAACAGAGGTATGCTACATAGCTATTGTGAAACACTCGGTAGCGACAAAAATGTTTACTTCTCCCATGGCAGGAGAGAAAGAAAACCTACAACTTTTGCACAGGTCAATGCAGTATAAAAAAAAAATAAACGTTATAAATTGTAAACAAAGGAAATGTAAGATAACCAGCACGTAATTCCACGCCGGTACCCGTGACAATAAAGCAGTCAGGTGTAACGAATGCGAAGGGTATACCCCAGTGCTGATATCGAAGATGGTCAATCTGATATGGCGTATGCCTATTTATGATTCGTGTTCAGCTTTAATGTATGAGAGGGACGATCAGGTACTTACTCTGTGAAGCGTCACATGTACAACGACCGCTATGACAGGACAGGTGCGTGGAATTATTTGGACAGAGAGTCACTTTACAAGAATCCACGTGACTGCATCTCTCAGCAATAACAAGTGCTAGAAATAATTCTTTTTTCAGTTATATAATAATTATACATGTAGTTCCGTAATGAGATTAATATTGTTTTATTCGAGCCAAATTATCCGAATTAACAATCGAAAAAAATAGTGCTACATAACATCATTTTGTAAACACTGTAGGCTTAATTTTTTTTTTCTGAAGCATAGAAATCAGTTAAGTCCCTACATCAGTATATTTCTTTTTTTATGTACATTCAAATTCTGGTAGGATTTATATGCCCCCCAACCCCTTAAAATATTGAAAAGTTCTTTTTTATTCAGTTTTTTACGCTTTGACTTGGTTCTTTCAAAAATTGATTCCAATAAATGTATTGACCCCGAGATTATATCAACAGACCCTTCCCTTTAACTTATCAATACTTTAGCAAAATCAACTGAATATAATTTTTTTTTTAGAAGAAAATTATTAGTATTAGACATTTTCAGAAGTTTAACCCCTCACTTATATATAAAAAAAAAAGGAATTGGGATGGATGCAAGGTGTTTGAAACCATTAATTTGTGCTAATTAAAATTAATAAATATTACGTTAAGAAGTAGAAATATCGATACCCTCACATACCCAAAGCCCCGACAGCTAGGACTATCACCAACAGTTGTCTCATTGTGACTTAGTGAGAAGTTAAAAGGTAAATCGTGATAGAGTTATATAGACAGAACGAGAGATAAGACGACTTCTTGTATCATGCCCCTGCGATAAATATTTCGCATTTAGCTACATAATATTCACAAGATTTAAACGATATTGGTGCACCAAGAGCCATACACTTTCTCCTTAAAGATCAACCAACTTCTAATGGATTAATTCTTAGATATATAAGCGATACTCTGCGTGCTAATAACGTGTAATTTGAAAATTACTTTAACTTCAAATGTTTGAACTTACACTATGAAAAAGTCTTATGTTATTTAAAAAAAATACATGAATTAATATTTGAAAGAAAAAAGTTCTAGATATTTTATATTAAGATACTAATAAAATAAAGACGGATAATCTTATCCATACGTATAATGAAGGATTTTAAAACTTGTTGTGATGTAAAATGAATACTGTTTATGTAGGGGTAAAACCTTTCCAAACAGATAGATGCTATATCCCCCCCCCCCCCCCGCTGCTGTTGGGGGAATGTTACACCAACCTGTTTCATGATTCAAATATCTGTATTATAAATTTAAAGACTTTGTAAGCAACTATGAATACGTTTAACCGTTAAGCACTAAATATGACTTTCAGAGAGGCTTTGACATGAATTCAAATAATGTCTATTATCATCTTCACAAGCTTAAAAAATGCAAAACACACCAGGATGCAATTTTTTTGTGTGCAATAAACAAAAAATGGCATTTTACAATTTCTTTAAGAACTATTGATCCCGGTCGATAAATTCAAATCACAGCATTATTTTATCCTTAATTAATACCCCCTGATGTGGTTTTCAGACATATTATGTGTTTATATTACATATTATAGAAACTACCCTTTAAATCTTCAAATATATCCATTTGGAGGGGTATTAAAACCTGAAAAGAACTTTAAAGTGATTATGAACGTCTAACGCTCTAAATCTCCCGGCTAAACAACTATGAATTCGGTGCCTGTAAAACGAAGTCTCAAAACGGATAAAGTTTGCAATTTCAAGAACATTAAAGGAAAGTAATGAACCCTTTCGAGAAGTGGACGTGATCGTTTTATCAAGTTTCTTGTCCGTCTTGCCGAAAAGTTTAAGAGTCCATGAATAATATATACCATGACAGAGGGGCGTGATGTAGGAGGTGTTGGTAATATTAAAAATATCACCTGTGATGGCCTAATCCAATCTAATTTAATCTCTGAACGATTGGTGAAATGGTCTTAGAGAATGTGATGTGAACTGCAAAAAACGATATCTGAACGATTGGTACTCGAATGGTCCTAGAGGATGCAATGTCGCTTATTTGAACTGAAAAAAACGATTCATGTTCAACAAGAAAGTATGAGCAATGCAACAAATATAACAGGTTTAGTGTACGACAGGACGACGGACGCTGAGGGCGCTATGAAGTTCACAGTATCTGTTGTTATGGTGTACGGGGGTGCTGTTTTTGGTGTATTGCTCCTCGGGTTTTTACGCGGACTTTCCAGAAATCACGATGAGGAAGATAAGCAGGTTAATTCGTTTTTAAGAGACATCGAAAAAACAAGAACACGATGCACAAAGGAGCGTGAACTAAATGCTGTATATAGAACGCTCGGGAATCTAGATTTACAGTGGAAAAGCCGGAACGACCGAAACACCGGAAGTGCTCTGGGAAGAGGCATAGCTAGTGTGATGGCTCTTCCGGTGATGATGTCTCGGGAACGCCATAGCGGTGGGGTCCGGAAGTCACGAAAGCCGTCATGGAATCGTATAAAAGATATATCACGTGCTTTCTCAAGACGGAAAAAGGCAAAATCATACCTGGGACTCCATGTGGAGTCAAGAATAGACGATGTAACAGGGAATAAAGCTTTCGTGGATTTAAGGGAGAAAGTGGAGGAAAAAATGACAGATTTTAAGAGTTCGGAGGAGAAAACAATAAGGATACAGGTAGATGTTAACACAGTCAATGAGGACTCGGAAGAATCGGACTGCGGGAGTTTTCAAAGTATTTCAAGTTATCTAGTGTCGTCTGAAATGTGACGGTTTGAGCATAATTCTAAGGATTTATTATACACACCATGGAAGTTAATTCAGTCGAGTTTCGAGGAAGCATATTGTGCGGTTTCATTGTTGAATAGCAGTGTTTCTCTGAAGTTTATTAATCAATTTCAATGAGATCGTGCAAAATGAATCAGCTTTTCTCGACGTCGACAAAAAACAGCATATACATGCATTTGTATAAATACACAAGTTTCACAGAAATCAATGCAAAACAGAAGAAATTTAAGCAAAATTAAGTGTTTCGTCTTCCAGAAAGGAACCTGGCCCAAAACATCCTCAAACGCACTGCAAAACAGCTCTCATTTCTTTTCGATGTAATTTCAAATAACAGTTACATTATCATAGTATATATGGATCAGATATCAATATAATAAATCTGAAAGTCAACATAACAATGATGTTTATATATGTTTATACATATCTGGAAGAAGTGTGGTCCTTGTATATCACACACTTTCGTACGCTTTGAGAAATTCTTCGTAAGATAAAGGCCCCGTGTGATTTTTGCTCCATTTGATCAGGATGTCCGCGATTTTCGGCGCCTGTAAATGAAGCTCGCTGTCTTTGTGAAGACCATCTAACAGCTCCTTCCGGTCTACCTTTCCGCTTCCGTCTGTGTCCAACTTCTGGAACAGTGATCGCATGACGGGTGTTGTAGATTTTACGTTCCATAATTTCAAAAACTCTTCATAGTCTATCTGTAAGAGATTTTTTTTACAAAGGTGACGCTAGGAATATACAGTTTAAATCAAAGGATTATAATTCTACCTCAATCTTTTTATAAAGTAAATATGATGGCTTAAATATGAATACTTTTTTACAACAAAAATTTGAATTACTAAGTGAACCCTTGAGTTTGAATTCAAATTAAGCGTGTGGTAGTCACAGGCATCAGTATCAACATGCGGTATGTGGTGTTGCGAGAGTATTGCTTAGTTCCAGTCTCTTAATTTCTTAGATATAAACATGACGTAACCTTCTTGTCATCGTCTTTGACGAGATAGATGAGCATCTCAGAGATTTTTTCGGCGGACACGTCAATTTCCGCTTCATTGCTAACCGCATCCAAAATCTCGTCACGTGTCAGAAATCCACTTCCGTCCTTATCCAACTTCCGGAAAGCTCGCCGAAGTACGATTTGTCTAAAGAAAAGAAAATTCGCTTTATCGTGCAAGATTTCAACCCAAGAGATGATTAATATAAATGAGTAATATATAAAATAACCGTAGAATCATAAGCACCTTTTTGGCATCATATATAATGTGAGTTTAAATAACCTCAAAAACTTATATAAATATGCTGTTTAAAGGCAGTCAGATGTTTGTGTGGAGGTGTTATTTAAAGGCAAAGATTTATTGTTCTTCCAACCAAATCAAATTTTTTATTGAACATTTTAACGAGGTAACATAAAAAAAAAACAGCTCGTGTAGGATGTATTATTGATAATTGAGAATAAGATACAAAAATCAGTCAGACATACTAATGAATCAACTGTAGAAGTTTGTAATATATCACTTGTTAATTGTTTGCTGATTTTTCTTTAATTTTCTTTCGATTTTAACACTAGGTATCGCGCAGCATTAAATTTTCCTTCATTCGCAAAACAATTATCTATACCCAAGACTCAAAAATGTCCAGAAAAGAAAGAATTACAAGGAATGTTATGTTATGGAATAAAGATGCCGTAAAACGGTAAACTGTCCGTGTATCGACAGAATGATGATTGTTTCATTATGAATTAGTAGCATTTGCCAAACATCTGCAATGTTGCACACTATATAGGAGCCTGATTCATGAGGCGAGGATCATTTACTCAATGTTTATTTTACTGGCTATACCACAGAACTTCTGCTTCTTAAGTCTGCATTGATGTTAAAAAGTGTTACTTAAATACATTTTTTAAAATACCAATATTCTTTGCTATTCTGCAGTTAAAATGTGAGAAGTGTTATAACTTTTTGAATTTTTGATACTCACTTGAAGTCTATTTTTGGGACGTTGGCCATAGATTTCACAAATTCATCTTTTGATATTTTGTTATTCTTGTCCACATCCAGAGACTGGAATATCCTCTAAAATATGACATGTTATACATATACATGTGTATTTTACTTAAATTTGAAAAAAAAGATCTTGAAATCGCAAAAAATGTCCAAAGTTTTCAGGGGCGTGGCAGAGAATTTTGTACCTACCTTTGCCTCATCCTGTGTTCCCTTGAACCCTGACCTCTGTAACACATTACAGACCTCGGGGAAGTCCAGCGACCCACTCTTGTCCTTGTCAACCTCATCGAAGTCTTCCTGTATCCTCGACAGGTGGCGCTGTATCCAGGCTGCAAAATCCGCCATACTGCTGTACACAGCTTTTGCAATGAAATGAAGATGCCAAGCAAACATACGTAATTTTATGTTAAAAAACTTTCACCAGTTGTCTACTTAAGAAATCGCAGCTGCGCGTGCAGTTTTATTTTTGGAAGCAGAAATTAGCTCTCTATACACTGTCGTAATTAAGCCGGCTGGTGTTTGTTTTGGAGTCGATTGTCTGCGAATCCTTTGCCCCATTACTATCAATCTTTCAAAGGTGGCATGAAGTAAATCACTTATCATCATTTGTTACTAGAGAAAATGTATTTTAAAGTATCCCCCCCCCTTTTTTTTTTAATAATGAATGACTTTCGGCATTTTTGAAATCACTCACATTTTTTAAAATCTCAATTGCAAAAACTAAGCAACACTTGTACAATTTGTTTATGGAATTCTTTTGAAAACTTTATACATCAATTGAAAAGAAATAAAATTAAATTTAAAAAAAAGAAAGATAATTGAACTTATTTTCTAATTTTTGTATGGAAAGACATTTTGTATGCATTTATTTAGTGTAGCCTTTAAAACTTGGAACAAATAAATATCTGTCTGATCTGGAAAACGAAATTAAAACAATCAACGTATTTAAGTCAAGCGAATAAAAACTGTCCGATGTTGTTCTTTATATATTATGGCAAGTCAAACGTAGCAATATTCGATCTTTTCCATTTGCATTGTATATTTTTCATTTGTATTCTATAATTTTCCATTTATATTGTATAATTTTTATTTGTATTCTATAATTTTCAATCTGTATTATATAATTTTTCATTTGTATTGAATAATTTTTTATTTATATTCTATATTTCCCATTTGTATTGTAAAAAAATCATTTGCATTGTATAATTTCTTATTTGTATTGTATAATTTCTTATTTGTATTGTACAATTTCTTATTTGTATTCGATAATTTTTTCATTTGCATTGTATTCGAAGATTGCGTATTATTAATTTTGTTACGAAGGATTTCATTGGTCAAGATTTCGTCTGTATCGTGTTGAAAATGAACGAGATGTTCTTGGTGCTCAAAGCAAACAAGGCTCCTATAAGTATTTGCGTGCATGTTAGAGGACGGTCATTTAGATGAAAAGGGGCACTTGCAGATGGCAAATAAATAATGTGTCATTTCCTTAGAAAAGTTGCCCCACCCTCCGAAATGGGTTTCGGGTTTGGTAAGACTTTTCTTCTTCTCCTTGTCTCTGGTCATCTTGGACATAAATATTCTTTCTTGCAAGAGCATGAAAAAAATAATCCGATTCGACAAATTTGCCAGATTTATGTAAAGAGAAAAATCAAAAGAAGTTCTAGAAATATAGATGTGTACATTAGTCAAAGAGACACATCACTTGGCTAAGCAGGTGCATAAAGGACATGTCATTTATTAGTCCCCTACCGGTGAAATCGGAGGGGACTATAGGTTTCCTCTGAGTCTGTCTGTCTGTCTGTCAGTCTGTCCCACTTGGTTTTCCGCACTTTTTTCCTAAACGCTTGCAGATATTGAGCTGATTTTTGGTATGTGAGTGTATCTTGATGAGTTACAGATCAAGTTTGCATTTCGTTCCGCTTCATTGATTTTTGACGGAATTACGGCCTTTTCAATTTTTAGGGGTTTTCCGCAATTTTCTTCTAAACGCTTTCAGATATTGAGCTGATCTTTGGTATGTGACTTAACCTTGATTAGTTATAGATCAAGTTTGCATTTCGTCCCGCTTCATTGATTTTTAACGGAATGACGGCCTTTTCAATTTTTAGGGGTTTTCCGCAATTTTCTTCTAAACGCTTTCAGATATTGAGCTGATCTTTGGTATGTGACTTTACCTTGATTAGTTATAGATCAAGTTTGCATTTCGTCCCGCTTCATTGATTTTTGACGAAATTATGGCATTTTCAATTCTTAACGGGAACCAGATTACACTTGCCGGTAGGGGACTAGTATTGCTAATGCAATACTCTCAGAATACTTGTTTTTTCAACAAATTACATAATCATAGATTGTTTTTCTTACTAATCAATTCATTTTACGGATTTGTAAAATTGATACAACAAAATGTATTGAAAATTTTAAATAGAGATCAAGAAAATATCATTTTTATTCATTTATTAGTCCCCTACCGGTGAAACCGGAGGGGACTATAGGTTTCCTCTGAGTCTGTCCGTCCGTCTGTCTGTCTGTCCCTCTGTCTGTCTGTCAGTCTGTCCCACTTGGTTTTCCGCACTTTTTTCCTAAACGCTAGCAGATATTGAGCTGATTTTTGGTATGTGAGTGTATCTTGATGAGTTACAGATCAAGTTTGCATTTCGTTCCGCTTCATTGATTTTTGACGGAATTACGGCCTTTTCAATTTTTAGGGGTTTTCCGCATTTTTCTTCTTAACGCTTTCAGATATTGAGCTGATTTTTGGTATGTGACTTTACCTTGATTAGTTATAGATCAAGTTTGCATTTCGTCCCGCTTCATTGATTTTTGACGGAATTATGGCATTTTCAATTCTTAACGGGAACCAGATTACACTTGCCGGTAGAGGACTAGTATTGCTAATGCAATACTCTCAGAATGCTTATTATAAAATGATGTATGTGCAAAGGTTGCAGAACTGTTAATGTTCTTGAGATTTTAAATGAATTGTAAATTTGCATCAGTAATATTTACTTACCTATTTTGAAATGGTAAGGTGCATGGAAACCGAAAGCTTCTCTTTACGGAAAAACCAAAGGAGACGCACTAGCTAACGCCGACCGTTTCGAAAATATAAGATTTCACATGTTCTTTCGTCTTTTGTTCAAACATTCACATGCATGTATTTATACTAAATCCATATTTATTTTGAGTTTTTGAGAGTTTTACAGAGTGTACGACCGTGAAGCATCATCAACAGGCGTGACGGTGAGTTCATCATGACATCACGCTTTATTCCTTCCTGTGCTTGTCATACTGTATTGAGGTCAGTACGTCTATGTCCATTAATCTGTTTTATATACAGCTCCCTAGTGCGTCCTGTAGAAGAAAGGAGAGAATGCTTTTTGAACTCGTATAAAATAATATGATATTTTACAAGAAATATATGAAATTTTTTTTAGCTAGATTAATTCAATAAGAAAATATCCTCTTTGAATCTACTCAGATGTACCATGTAGCAAGTTGTCAAAAAAAAAAAATCTTTGATAGTTGGTGAATAATTTTATACTCAACAATATATTACACTGTATCCGATTGCCACTCCCCTTGATGACAAACAATAATTATATAATACTGTAGTGACGGATTCGTAGCTACTGAGGTATTCGTGTGGTTTTTTGAGGTAGTATAGAGAAAAAATATTTCAGTAAAAATGTCTTCAACCATACAATTCAACAAAAAAGAATGAATATTTTTTGAAACTTCTCTTCATTTTCCTTAATAGAAATAACACGAGATTCTCTGTAATGTTCCAGGTTTTCTTTATTTTTACTCTGAATAAAGAATAATTTTGTCTGGAACTTAGAGTATGAAAGAAATATTGGAACCGGTGCAAGCTGCCCTCAGTAGACCTGGAAGTTGCAAGGAGTAAGGAAAGAAGTCAATGCACAAGTTTGGGGATCAGGCCCCAAACAATGCTCAAACTGAAAATTGGTTGTAATTTAAATTGATGTTTCATATAATTGTATAATATTGTTTAACACAATACTGTATTTCAAAAATATTCAAAATACATGTATGTTGAAATACACCTTTCAAAGCAGTACAAATTGATTGCTTCTAAATGTATGTAGGTAAAGTTTTATTCAATGTCTGTTATGTAGTGTGTATTTATAAAACGGAGTGCAACATCATCTTCCTAAAAGTGATACATGATGAGCCATGGTGTGACCCACCATTTTCTGGCCTCCAAAATATGTTCCCACCGCACGTATACATACATTGTTTATAAATATACCCCAACAAACGCTTATATTTCTCTTGTGTATAATGTCCGCATTTAGATTAATTGCCGGATGTTGTACGTGAAATCATCGGAAACGTTAGAAATCCTGTTGTTTACAGCTTCGGTCGTTATAACTATACAAGAGGTAGGGACCTTTTCTCTCATGATGCAGTATTTTTCGTACAATTTAAAGCGTTTTGTAATTCAAACTTGTTTTAAAGTTTATCTTACAATAATATTTTTCGTTTGGTTAATTGAGTTGGTCATGAAAATAACATCTCTCATGATATAACACATATAGCATGATATAAGAAACAACTCCCTTATGTTTTAGCACTAAAATTATGATTTTCGCGAAGAATTCTGTATCTTATTCACAAAATTACTGGGCCATTCCTCCTCTTTTGATCAATGTATTCTCTACCTCAACACTTGACCCTGATCATTATCGATTCGAATTAATATCTAAGATAAGTTATTTTATCTGTAAGAATAGAGAAATGTGACAAGTGTATAAGCATGTACTCTTAAAATATCTGATGAAATCGGATCCAGAACCGGACGTACAGTTTCCATTTCTTTTAGAACATCAGGAATATTTGGCAGTGTAAAGTTTTTGTAGCATTATCAATATTCTTTATGCATACAATGTATTTTCCAGTAAAATGCTTAATTAACTGCAAAATAGCGAGTTATAGAATTTTTTATGTGGAATTTAGAAAGATAACAGTAAACTTATGAATGTTTACCCATAAGAGTTTTCCTTTTAAAATTGATATCCTATACTGCCCTAATGGGTCTTGTGATCTCGCTGGGCAACTAAAGAAGGGAAAAGCACTTCAAAATAGTTTAAAAAGAAACCATGTCATCTTGGGAAAAAATTCTACAAATTCCTGTAGTTTAGTTTTAAAAAGTAATTGATTTAAGTTAATGAGTGATAATGCTCATGAACAACTTTTGTGTGGAGTATGAAAGCATGGTCTTCCACAATCCTAGAATTGAAAGTTTATATTCCAAAGAACATTCAGCTTCCGTGTGTTTTGTCCTTAACCTTATAAAAAAAATCGTGAGTGACCAAAAAGAACGACAATCTCAATGTTTTTGCCAAGTAAAACGTCGTCTTTCTTCAGCAATGCAATGATTTCTCTTTTAGAAATTTACTTCTTTTTTTTTACACATCTATGTACCTTGTAACCTTGACCTTGTGTAACGTCTTTTGCTCAGGGTCATGACATATTCATCCCTCAGGTCAATCATGCTTTTAAAATTTTGTACAAAAAAAAATTATTCAAGAACAAGAATTTTACACTTCAAACCATAGACCTGCGATCTACAGCTGGTCTATCATTTTATTCTATACTGTCGAGTTTCATTTCATCTAGGAACTCTTTAATGTATTAGTCAATGCTTTTGGTAAATTCGGGAATACATTGAAGGCTATATAATATCTCGTGACAGTGTAAATGTTAGCAATGTCAGATTTCTCTATGTCGGAAGTTTTCTATACATCCCGGTGAGGGCGCTGCGAACACAGGAACATATTTTCCCGCCAAAGCAAGTTGGCGATCTGCTGGCTTCAGGTCTATGTTCAAACCCCAGTGACCTTGATAATGTTTAAAGGACGATAATGGAAGGTTTTACAACCCTTTGGTTACAGGCAAAAGTTATGTCCCTTGCGCCAAATTTGGGGATAAAACCATAAAATTCTCACAGTTGCCTTTGAAACTTTAACGGTTGTAGCTTGGTCATTTGACATATAATTGATAATTGAATCTTATATTTTGATTGCCCCAGGATAGGGCTAGCCATACATTGAAAGAATTTTTTTTTTGATCACAGTGAATTTCTCGCAGCAAGCCCAAATGTTTGTTAGAGTAAAGAAGAGAAACATTCCACTTTTCCCTTTTTTACCTTTCGGTTGACCTCGCAAAGGGAAACAGCTTTTACAATGTGTTGAATGGACTATTAGGAACAGGACAAGCCCTTAAATCACAAGGAATTTTTGTCTGAAGTATAAGATTCTAAAGTTTCTATATTTTAAAGTTTTGGCTAGCACAATAAATAAATACTTTTGTCATGGAAAATTGAATATCAATTTTGTTAGTATTGTCATGTAAGGAATGACATTGGCAAATGTAAATATTGTGCATTAAAACTAAAATATGAGTGTTATATATAAATACTTTTGTTCCCCTTAACCTTATTCAAAGGACCTTAATACAGAGTCAAAACGTTCCTGTGTTCATAAGCAACTTTTGTATCAATTACGAATTTCTTATGTTTCTTGGTTTCAGTGTTGGGTCCAAACAAAAAAAATATACTCTTTGTATCCTTGTCACGGAAGTTATCTACAGGAAAGCTTAAATCATCTTTACTTTTCAAATATTGACTTATCAGAAAATACCAGACTCACATGTTCAATTTGTTTCTACAAAGCTTTATTTTTTTAAAATTCAACTTCGTTTGGGAGATTTTATAATTATCCAACATGTATAAAACTGAATTAGGTATTTAAAAATACAGAATAATAATGCATAGTATCGATGAAGAAAAGACACAGTTAGACAAAAAAATTATTCATTTTAATCTTTGGCTTGAAAACAAGTAAACAACGGACATAACTTTTGACTGACTTTCCAGAACATGAATGATATTTCGACATAGGAAAAATCCTGATGAACCTGTAACCAATATTTGGATATCAGGATTTCGTTTTGATGGCGGAATTTTTAATTCCGTTTGCCCGTAAACATGGCGGACCTAATGGTAGATAATACACCGTCCCGGAGGACATATCAACTCGGGCACGGATGCTTAACTAATGTAGATCAGGATCTCTTCTGTAATTAGGTGGATGTCGTTGACGTCTTCGAACATTACCCGGAAATCCATCTATATGCAAGATTTTAGGAATTAAGACAAATAGGTTGTTAGTTTGTAAAAGGTTTTGGTACACAGAGCAGCTTACGGACAGGTTATTTCTTCAAAACTGAATTTGTTGAAAACAATAGAATTGTCTTTCTGTCAAGCACCAGGCTGGACGGCGTTTTTCTCCCGATAATACAGTATTCTATGTAGGAATTGTGATTTTTTTTCTTTTGCAGTAAACAAGATGGGGTTAGATTGTGGAGGCAGAATGGGACAGATCATTTTGGTCATCATCAACATAATTTTTATGGTAATTTGTTGTTTTTAAAAAAAAATTATATGAAAAAGACTTAATGTTGTAAGAAATGCAGAAAAATTCTGAGGTTATTCCTCTTATGCCCCATGTATGAAGAATTAACTATTGAAAAACCAGATCTCTAGAAACGTAAAGTAAACTTGCTGATATTTCTTAGATTCAAATTGGATGCATTACAACAAATGTCTACTGAATATTAGGTAGCACAGAATATTTGAAAATTTTTGTTAATTGAATATCTGAAAAAAGAGGGTTAAATTTTAAACAGAACAACTTTGTCAAAATAGAAAAAAAATGCAAAATCAGGTAAAACTCTTGGTGACATAGATAACCCCTTATTTCAGTTGATGGGCCTCGGGCTCTTGGTCCCAGGAATCGCTTTACAAACAAACTTTGATTTTGTGACTGATGAGATTAAACCTGTCTTAGACGAGATCAGAATCACAGGAGTAGGTCTCGGGGATGTTATCCAAAATCTCGGGATCGGATTCATCATTGTGGGCCTGTTTGTATTCTTGGTGGCCACCATAGGGCTACTCGGAGCTTGCTGCAAAAGCAAGTGTATTCTGACAATTGTGAGTACACTTTGCTGATTTTTAGAAATACTATCAAATCTTTGTACGGGATGGACTATGTCTTAACTCCAAAAAAGAAGCTTGAATTATTCCATAGTTAGTAAAAATTTAGATTTATAACTTTCTTTACTTCATTATTTTTGGATTTTTACTGTCTTGCATAAAATTTGATAACTTGATCGCAAACTAACTTCGAGAAGAACCATACATAAATAACTTAAAAGAACCTCTTGGTATTCAATGAAGGAAATATGAATGAATTTACAAGTAAAAGTCATCTTTCATTCTTAAAAGCAGACTTTTCGAAGTAACAAGGTTCTTCCATGTGTAGCTACCACAAACAGCTTTAAGGTGAAAACAAAAGATCACCAAGGGAGTGTAATGATGATCGCTACGTGTCGCCTTGTAGCTTGTCTCAGGAGTCATAATGAAGTTTCGTTGAAATGCATTTTGTTCCCTGATATACTAGTATTTACAAAGAAAATATTTCCATACGAACTCATTTTATTGAATCGAATTTCATAAGTAAAGCATCACACATGCTGGCGATGTGTTTATTCTTTTACGTAAGGCGGCTTATGATTTATTACTAAAGCGTAGATTTTATAGTTATTTAAGGAATGAATTTAATAGCTACCCATTTTATACGGTATAAACTGGGTTGGGGCAGTTTACGCTTTATAAACCGCGAAGCGGTTTATAAAAAAGCGTAAACTGTTCCAACCCAGTTTATACCGTATAAAATGGGTAGCTATTAAATTCATTCCTTATAATTTAATTTTCATTCATTTGATGTCAGAAAAAAAGATGATTGTCCTTAAAAAATGACTTCAATTTGTGAAAATTTTGAATGTAACGTCAGGCGGATCGATACGTTTTTGACGCAAGTCATTGTGACGTAGGCAACCCATTTTATACAAAATAAAGTAAATGTTTTGCCCAATCAAATAAAGCGTTACAACCAGAATTAAATTATACATTGTTATAGTACTTCATTTAACAAATACTTTTTATGCCCCCGGATCGAAAGATCCCGGGGGTATATTGTTTTTGTCCTGTCTGTCTGTTTGTCTGTTTATCTGTTTGTCTGTTTATCCGTTTGTCTGTTTGTCTGTTTGTCTGTCTGTCCGTTGTCAACTTTAACCTTGCCCATAACTTTTGATTGGTTGGAGCTATGACTTTCATATTTCACATGTGTATTCCTTGTGACAAGACCTTTCTTTGGGTACCATCATATTTGACATTTTGACCTTGACCTTGGAGTTTGACCCACTTTTGCAAAATTTTATGAGACTTTAACCTTGGCCATAACTTCTGAACAGTTTGTGCTTGGGGTTTCAAACTTCACATGTGTATTCTTTGTGATAAGGCCTTTCTTTGGATACCAACAACTTTTGACCTTGACCTTGGAGTTTGACCTACTTTTGAAAAACTTTAACCTTGGCCATAAATTTTGAACAGCTGGTGCTTGGGGTTTCAAACTTCTCATGTGTATTCCTTGTGACAAGACCTTCCTCTGGATATCAACCTATTTGACCCTTTGACCTTGACCTAGGAGTTTGACCTACTTTTGAAAAACTTTAACCTTGGCCATAACTTTTGAACGGTTAGAGCTAGAGCTTTCATACTTTAGATATGTAATCCTTGTGACAAGACCTTCCTTTGAATACCAACCACTTTGACCCTTTGACCTTGACATAGGAGTTTGACCTACTTTTGAAAAACTTTAACCTTGGCCAGAATTTTTGAAAGGTTGGTGCTAGGGCTTTCACACTTCACATACGTAATCCTTGTGACAAGACCTTCCTTTGGATACAACCACTTTGACCCTTTGACCTTGACTTTGGAGTTTGACCTACTTTCGAAAAACTTTAACCTTGGCCATAACTTTTGAATGGTTGGTGCTTGGGCTTTCATACTTTACATATGTAATCCTTGTGACAAGACCTTCCTTTGGATACCAACAACTTTGACCTTGACCTTGATGTTTTACTTACTTTTAAAAAACTTTAACCTTGGCCATAGCTTTTTGAACAGTTGCAGCTAAGGCTTTCAAATTTGAAATTTTTTATCTTTTGGCCTGGATTTTGACTTGCATTTGAGAAACTTTAACCTTCGCCATAAGCTGCCATACGGGGGCATCAGTGTTTCACAAACACATCTTTTTTTTTCTTTTTTTCAGTATGCCATTATCGTGTTAGTGTTGCTGTTGTCACAAGTCATTGTTGTGATCCTGTGGTTCACCATGCAGAATACGGTAAAGTTATAAGTCTGCATTGCTACTACTGGCGATATCCTAGCTAATTTACGATTGCTGCTATTTAACATAGCTATCAGCAACAGGCTTCATTCTTAAGATATGGGGTATATATATATCCACTGAATTTAATTTTTTAATTTCTTTCCAGCTGAACTCTACCGTAAAAGGTGAGCTGACAACTGTGTTAACGAACAATTACAGAGAGGATAGCATTAACGGGACCAGCCAACAGAGTAACGGATGGAACTATCTTTTCATAACGGTGAGTTTCTTTGACTTCTTGAAGCAATATAAATAACATAAATAATCAAAAGTCCTCAAGCTGGAACGATTTAGTGCATGTAAAAATAGGATGGAGATACTGATGTGGTTGAAAATTTTGTGTTTTAATTTCTTTTCAGCTTAAATGTTGTGGTATCAACGCAGTATCCGCTGGAACAGCAGGGGATTTCCAGAACACTCCAAACTGGAGCGGTAAGGGGGCAAGTCAGAAGATCCCCACGTCTTGTTGTCAAGGAGTCACAGCTGAAAGCTACACCGCATCAGCTAATTGTACAGACAGTGTAGCAGCTGGAACCTACTATGAGCAGGTATGCTAATATGATTAAATACAACCACAGTCAGTTAACGGTAAAATACAACAAATGTCCAGGCTCATTATTATAAACCTGCACTAAAAACTCTGGCTATGCAAATAAATTTTTATAGATAAGGATGTGTCTTTTGATATTGGCGTAATGTATGCCAGATATCTCACTGACATTTTAAGACACAAGAAAATTATTCCCAAAAATCATGCTAAATATATCAGGAATGAAGCATCTTTCTATGACATTTTGAAAATTATATATTTATTTGGTTTTGTTAAATAAATAGCAATGGTTTATGTTGAAAATAAAGATTTTCCTGATAAAATTTAATAATCAAGCCTTAAGGAGGGATTCTTGTCTGGTTTCTGACTAGCTGAAATATTCAAAGTATATTTGGCTTCTTTGCTTATATGTCTTATATATTTAGATGTAAGGGATTTAAAATATCATATTTTTCTTTCCTCATCATAATTGTACAACTTTAAATAGAAATGGTAAACTGAGTTTGAAATCTAGCAGGGACTATATTTTTGGCGGAAGGGCGGCGTATGAAAAATATCTTCTTTTCTGCTTCTGAAAATTACTATAGAACGATGAATTTGGTTAAAATTTTTACACAATCAAAGACTTAAAGAAATTTTTAAGTGTAAGTAGAATTAATAATAAGGGACTTAAGTTTTAAAATATATCAAATAAATATGATTTTACAAACAAACTACAATTTATTTAGCTTTTAGAAGCTTCCAATCTAAGTACAGATTTGAGCAAAAAATCCGTAAAAAGTGTTTTTTCTGTCTTAGTAAACGATCAAAACTTTTTGTTTTTGTTTTATTTTGTATCCTAATATGACTACTTTACCATATGTGAAAATAAGAAAAAATTAAATATATGAAGCATATAAAAATAATTAATATATCCTTAAAATTTAAGAAAAATGGAGGAAATTCGGATTAGCTAATATCTGTTTTTAGTTAAATTATTTATTTCATTTTGGTAATATCTGATAGACCCTATATGGTAACATCTTTTCATGCAAAAAAGAAAAACATTTAATCTTTTGAAAATGAAGAAGGCATCACATGATTGGCAACAGTTGTTTTTTATTCTTAATGTCAAGGAAAAGGATAATGACCTTGACCTTACCTTGCTTCTAAAATAAAATGGTCAAATTTAATCTAACTGATACAATCAATTCTTCTTGAATATATGAAAATTTCATTAATTTTGAGAAGAATCCCACCTTAATTTAGACTGTAGTAACTTTTGCTTGACCAAGTTATTGTCATGACTAATGCTGAAAAAAATGTTATACCAAGTCAGGAGTGCAACAGAAAAAAATGTAATGATCCCCCAAAAATATGAAAAAATGTGTATGACAATAAAGTTAGAAAAAGAATTTTCAGTGAAAAACAATAACTGATATACCATTCAAAGGATTAAAATGTTACATGAATCACAAGCAGTATTAATGAGAATCAAGTATCTGTGCAGACCCAACTATTTCAGGAGTACAACATTTAATGTTTTGCGCCCCCCCCCCCCCCCCCACTTGGTAAAAACCTTTATCAATATATGTTTTTGCTTTATTTTTTGGAAAATAAAGACACAAGGAACATTTTACCAAATAAATTTATGATTTACAAGATCTGTTTGTGTCTCATTTTCATATTTCCATGATCAGGAATGCAACACATTTTTATAAAGATCCAAGTTCAATAATTAAATGACTTCTATTCATCCCAATAAGTATTATCTGATCAATAAGCATCTATTTGAAAAATTAAGCAATAAATTAATGATAGTTTTATTATGAAAATCTGTCCCTTTTTCAGTTCTATCACATCATACATGTATGTGTTTTTATCTTTTTTTTTTAATTTTCAAAGAAATAATTGAAAAGAAAAACACTGACAATTTAGATAATTCCACCACAAATGTACTGAAACCAGAATCAATGGAACATTTCTGATGTGTAATTTGTGCTTCACAATTCTACTTTTAAGTCTCACATGCTCTTGGTCATGAGGTGAAACAAAAATGTTTATATTTTTCAATGATCAAGTATGAATAAGTATGAATACTATTGATAAGTAGAATGTTTCTGGTTGATCTTAGTTGCTTACAGAGTTTATCCCATGAATGAAATATGAAGATAACGAACAGTAATCAAGCTTAAAAGTCCATTAGAATAATACAAAGTGGGAGCAGAACACATTCGGACCTCTGAAAACATCAGAGGTGGGATCAGGTGCCATGGAGGAGCAAGCATCCCCTGTCGACTGGTCACACCCGCCGTGTGCTCACTAGCATGATCGGGCAAACAGAAAGATCCGTAGACAGTTCAGTGTGAAAATAATAGCCTAACAATTTGTTAAAAAACGTCAGTCAGCATTTAACGTAATGATAGATTGTATTTGCTGTTAAGGTCATTGTATCGACCATAGAATTTGTGTCGACATTAAACAAGACTAATGTTATTCTTGTTTCATCAACTTAGCTTGCCTCGTTTTCAAAAAAAATTGTTCGTACGTGGAGTATGCTCTTGGTTGTCGAATCAACTGGGAGACATAAACTCCATATGCTGGTGATAATAGTATCTAAGGAAGTTGACGATAGAAAAGTTGATTGATTAATTGTATGTTATTTTGAGAATTCTTCACTCGTACAGAATCGTTAGGAAAGTTTAGGTCATCAAGTTATCATAAAGTTTTGATGTTAGGTTACTATTTAGTCTTTATTTAGTAAAATATCCAAATATGAAACATATGTGTCAGACTCTATGGTGTCTTTTATTTCGACTTTAAAGGGATATATCGAATCTCTGTTGGACTGAAAATGAACATTGTTAATTGATAAAACATCGTCGATACATCTAAATGTTGAATTGAAGGCCACAGCAAGAACATGTTTTTTCTTGAAGAAGTTTTTGAATAAATTCTGCTTTTGAATACTAAAATAGGTCTGCTAATAATGGGGTGCAATTAATACCAATGGGAATTCCGACAGATTGTTGGAAGAATTGATTTCCTAACACTACGTAGATATTGTCAATCAGAAACGAGCATCTATTTAATTTCAACTTCGGAATACTTATGTGTACAGTTAGATTGTTTTTTAACAAAATATTTTTGCAAATGACTAATAAGGTAAGTGAATGAACGAGTTTCATTTTTATTGAGAATGCAGCTGTCTATGATGTCAAAAAGCCCTAACTTTAATTTATCTTGGGGAATGGTTGTGTAAGATGTTGAAAAGTCATACGTATTGATGTTATTGATTATGGAAAAAAATTTGTGATTTCAAATTTTCTGAAAGTTCTTAGGAGAATTTGAGTATCCATATCTGATTTACACCACTTCTCGAATATATTGTAGTACAGTTCTCCTGAAGTGTCTCCTTCACTGCTGATTATATTTCAGTGAGGAGTAAAGAAAGAGATAGAACATTTACTGGAACCCGCTATGTATCTTTGTAAGGATTTTTACGTAGTTTAAGAATCCAGTATAGGTATGGTAATTTTAAATTCAATTCAATTGTTGGGAATATTAAAAATATTTAAAACTGACATATGATTTTGAAGAATTTCGTCCTTGCAAAGGGAACTATGAGTTTAAGTTTGATTACCACTGTGGTAATTAAATCGCAGAATTAAATCAAAGTTCCTCTAAACCACAGTTAAAATAACGAACCTAAAAAACAAAGACAATGTTATTACCTGCTTTGTCAGTTGGGACGATTACATATTGTTCGTGTAATATAGCTAATTCTTTTTTTACTACTGAGTAAATGAAGACGGAAGGGCAGATGGTTTTCATATTGCCCCTCAACCGCTTGATGCGAGCTGCGAGATTTCTACATCCATCTGATACTTTTGATCCATTCTGTCAAAGTGTCAAGGTCTTTTTTAAAATAAGTGATTTAGGGTCTTCATTATTAACTTTATTTACGTCATCAGTAATGAAGGGTGATGAAAAACATCAGCACGTTGGATAATTATGTCACAAATGTTCGATAGCTAAGCACTGTAGAGGTTTTCTTGTCATTCAAAAGTTTGGAAGCAATAGTCGATGTATATTTGTACGAAATTGTCACTTCCGATATATTATCTGGAATGTATATACCATATGAAGTTATTAATTGGGATTTATGCTATGGTAAGATGAATTGTTCAAGAATCAACAAACCGTCTGTCATTATTTTGAATTTACACGAAAGCAAAATAAATTCTTATGATATACTGTGAATTTATTAATTTTCGTGGGGTTTAATTTTTTTAAGTATGGAGAGGCCCATGAATTTATTTCAACCAGAAAGTTTTAAAATTTTACACCTAGGCAATTCCCGTTTCTTCAGCCAAGTAATTAAATACCCAAGAAGTAATATTTTTTCTTCAAAGCACAAAAATAGACCCCCCCCCCCAAAAAAAAAATAATAAAATAAGCGATTTTACTGACAAATAAAATGCTTTCTTTGTTTGCTAATGCGGGAATTAACGGTCGCAACCATTGCAGAAAAAATAAGTAGCCCCCTTAAGCGGAAAAAGTTAAAGAAATACTATGACACATGTTGAGCATGTTGACACGTTTAAAAAACAAGTTGTTTGGCCATTAATTGTCCACAGCTGATCTCTCTGTTCTACCCGATCAAGACAAAGGACTCAGAGCGGATGTGACAGGGAGTGCTTACTCCTTGATAGCACCTGATCCCACCTCTGATTTTTTTTTGTCAGGGGTACATGTTTGGTCTGCTCTCAGTTTATATCGTTTAATTGAAATTTTTAACATGATTATCGTTCATTACCTTCAAATTCCGTTCATAAACAACATAAAAAATAAATTATTTAAAATAAAGTTTTCTCTGAGTAAGAGATACTAAAACAATTAACATTAAACCTAATCTGGCTTGGTGTTTATTTTATTTTGAAGAATAAATTTTGATTGTTATAGGGATGTTATGACGCTATGATTGCCAAATTTGACACGTCTAGATATAGCAACATTTTACTTGGTACTGGCATAACCATTATTATCATAGAGGTAAGAATAAAAGATACTTATATGAAGTTAAAAAATTGCATCAGATTACAAAAACATGCACATGTTTATTTACACTTTTGTACCTTATTATATACATATTTATTTATACATTCATACTTATGTATTGAATATATCTGAAACTGAGTGATATAGTAAATAAAATAAGTATACATATACCTGTCATTAGAGTTTAACAATGGTATCTGCCGCTTTTCATAAATTCATTAATGAATTCGTAAATACATAGATACATTAAAGTTATATTAACAACTTTATACATGTAATTGTGGATTTTTTTTATTATTTTGTATGACAATTCAGTGTTATATTTAAGGAAATTGATAGAAGTGGTTTCCGATCCTATTAATTACTAGTCAATAAAATATGTTCAAAACAAATACATGTATAACTTGCAAGCAGTCATGTATGGTTTATTTATTTATTGAAGAAAATAAAACACGGTGTAAACTATTGAGAAAAAAGATAAACATTTACACATAGTACATTGCATAATTGCATATAACCTTGTATTCTTTCTCGTTGATGGTATTCAGACATATAATGTATTATAGATGATGTATTTCGATGTATTTCAATACGTTATTTATAACATTTTGATTACAGCTTATAGCTATCATCTCATCAATTTTGATATGCAGAGGAAACTTTGATGAAGGGAATTTAGCCTAATTTGATCATGTAAATAGGCATTTGCATTTTTCCTTGATATGTTTTACCTTAAGGTATCAAAGCTTAATCTTAATTTTTTTTTCTATCGTATTAATTAAATACTGTTTATATCAACTCAAAAGAATTACTTAAAGCTAGCATTACAATATTTGTATAACAATGATCATTTAGTGTTTCAATACTTTTATTTATTTTTTGAAAGAAAGTAATTGTGCGATGAGGTAAAGATGCTTTTTTATATTTCAAGATTTTAATTGATCACATGTATTAAATCACTTAAATAATAATTTAAGTTTATAAATTTTACATCACTGAAGATCATTAGACTGTATCAAGTAGTTAATAACAACTCTGTCTAATAACGATGTCAATATTTTTTTTACTGTAGATACTTGCAGTCCTTGCTGCTATCTGTATATGCCGAGGAACAGAAGAAGACGATTAATAATAACCTCCAATGAAATCAACTCTGTCTTATGACGTCACGTTTCACCTTTAAAAACTCATACTCACTAAATACTTCGCTACAAAAGCACGTTTCTTTTTTCTTATCTATGAAAGATAAACATGTATTTGCATTAATATTACACACTACTTTGAGAATATTCTTTTCTTCATCTCTGTGGATAATTTTTTAAAACTTCCTGAGGTCGAAATACGGTATGTTAATTTTTGCTTTCATTGTAAGAAGTATGAAACTATCATTGCAATTCCTTAATTATACATATTCACGATTTTATGTACATCAATGAATAAAAAAAAATTAAAAAATCAGAATTCTTTTGCTTATTATTTCAATATGTCGATATGACAGAATGATGTATGTTTTTTCTTTGTTTGAGAGATTAGTATTATCTTTATCAGACTGATATATACAGTCAACTATAATAACAGAACTGTGAGATGTTGGGGTGAGCATGTAATCTTTTAAAAAGATTTCATCGTTATTTCGAAATGACAGATGATATATTTCATCGTTATGTCGAAATGACAGATGATATATAAGAAAGAAGTAAAAATGTTCAGACGTTAGAATATGCATTTATTTACATTATTTCGTATGTATGACACTATTGGGTTTGAACAAATAGTGTTGTCTAGGTGGAATCAAGTGATCCGTCCAAAATTCTTCCGAACTGATCTGGATTCCATCATAGGCGACTTGTAAAGCCAAAAATATTTTTCTAAATTAAAATATTTTTTAAAAATGCTATATATAAAATAGATAAGCTTATTTCAATTTGGGCCTACAGAGCATAACAGTAAAAGACAGTTCATAGAAAATAAAGTTCAGAAGGATTTCATATGTAGAAATACTAATAAAGCAACATGAAATAACTACCAACTACATGTAGATGCAACATAAGAGGTGAAAAAGGTCATATAATTTGAAAATATGTTGTATACATAAGTATCTGGACAGTAGCAATAATTATAATACTAACATTATACTGAAATTATAACTAAATATTCATTAAGATTGATGATTACTTATTATTCAGCATTTAAAATTTTCCTTATTTATTAAAAGGGTAAAGTTTTTGGTGAGCTTAGAGAGATCATGAGGAAAAAAAATAAACACATTTCCCTCTTCTATATGCAATAGGCAGTCAATAAAACATTTAATTAATCTTAGGTAGATTAAGTAAATAATTAACACCTTAAAAAAAGAGGAACTTTCTGACAGTACTATTTTTCACAAATTCAAAACTACGAGTACCTCTTAGGCCAGGAATAATATAATACCTTGTATTTACATTTGTTAACATAATCAATATATGCGTTACCAAATGTGAAGTTTTCTTTAAGTGACCTTTTTTGATAATTTTTTTTTCGCCTTATTGGTATTAAATTCAAGTACAATATTTATATTATCTTTATATTTTTCAATAAATTTACTCTGGATTGTAGCTCATAATGGTTATCTGAGAACAATACAAATTTATCTGCTTATAAAAATAAAGTGACTTTCTTTCCAGAAAAATTAATATTGCATATACTTTCTTAATCTCTTAATGTAAAAAAAAAAAATCAAGAATAAAAAATACTTTAAATGTTAAAATAAAATTGAAATATTTGGGCTTAAGACCTTCCTTTGGCGAAATCCTGTTTTTTGTTCTCTATTTGTTGAAATAAACATTATGCTGACAGGTATATACTACATAATATACTGTAGAATAAACCATTAATATTTAGTTTAGAGAGTTTTTATTCAATAACTTCATAGATAATTATGTCGAATGCTCTGCGGAAACAATCCTTCAAAACATGCATATAGTCGTTTATTACCTGTTTAATGTATTTAGCTAAAAATTTCACTAAAATAATGTATACAGTGATTTCATTACGAAATAAAATATTAAATCAACAATAATAATATATGTTAAAAAGTCGAACAGTTTCATGTATAGATATGTTTCATATGTTCAATAAAATTAAAGATGAAAAAGAGAAACTCTGGTCTTTAGCAGTGCGTCTAGACTGCTTTCGAGTCATGATCAGATCCCGAACGTCTGCAGATAATGATGGCAAACACAATGGCAAGGAGCTAGTAAGAAACAAATAAAATTCTTACTAATTTGCTACAAAAAATTGATCTTTAACTCTATATATGTCTTCAACATGACAATTTTCACATTACCTATTTAAAAAAAAAACCTGAAGTATATGTGCATGAATGACTTCTAGATGACGCCAGTTTTTCCTTCGTCAACTTATTTATATTGTAATATTCCACTATCACCTGAACGTGTTGTTTCATGTCTCTCAGCTTATTCGATACGGAAGGGAAAGCTCTGAGTACGACCAATTTTTAATACGAGGCAAGCTACTAAAATAAGTTGATATTATAAGGATTGCAACAACCTCGTTTAAAGTGCATCATTTCAAAAAGTCTATGGTCGTAATGAATGACCTTGTTTGCAATTACAACCTATCATTGGGTCGGATTTTTTGACTGGCATACAGTATTTCATACAGCTTGTTAGATCTTTGTTTCTGTACTAAATTTGACAACGGATTATTCCGTCTACCTAATCAATTCATATGGCCCACCGCATGTGTGACCAGTAGACAGGGGATGCTTACTCCTCCATGGTACCTGATCCACCTCTGGAATTTCCAAGGGTCCGTGTTTCATGCCCAGTTCACATTATGTTATTTATACGTGATTTTTTAAACCAAACGTTCTTGGTTATAATCACCTTTTTTCAAAACATTTTCCCCTCAAATTTAAGTCATATGAGTTGATAATTATGCATGTACCGGTAATTAGTATACGTATATGAAAAAGTTTTAGATTTATATAAGTTATATTTTTTTGGAAAAAAGCAAATTCATTTTGGTCCCCCACTTGGGATGCAATTATTTAAGAGAATTTGGTATATGTTTTGTCTTGTCTGTTCATCAAACAAAAATATAACTTTTTGAATTAATAAAAGTTCACACAAAGAATAAAGCTACTCAAAACTGCATCAAACTTCAAGATCAAGGTAATGAGGTCAAATTCATTATATAATCTGAAAGGTCTAGTCACAGGTAATGCACATGTAAAAAAAAATATGACAGCTCTCTCTCTTCTGGAGCAAAAGTTATGGCCAAAGTTTAAATTTTTGATAGGTCAATTTTCTAGGTCAGGGTCAGGAAGTCAAAAATGATAGTTTTTTCTGAACAGAGTTGTAATAGGTAATGTACATTTAAAATATGAAACCCGTATCTTCTCACATTCAAAAGTTATCACATTGCATTATTTCAATGTTATACATATGTAATATTTTATATTTTCTGTCCCCAGCTTTTATTCTTACCTCAATCACAATCACAGTTATAGAGATTCCTATGAAAGCATTCCCGTAAGTCGAAATTAAGTCTTCCACTGCCTCATAACAACCCTGAAAATGTAAACGACGTGAGATTGAAATGGACAGATTTCCTAGGAGAGGAAATGGCACATGTCGCTAATTCAGAGCAAAACCTTTGCTCTACACTTTAATTGTTTTTTTTCTTCAGCTGCAATCTCTTTACTTTTCGATTATAATTTTATTTTTTTTCCACTGCAATATATTACCTGTGGTTGTATACAGTCTGCTTTCTTTTATTTCTTCGTGTGATGTTAATTCTTAAATTCTCAATGTAATCTTTTTATCTATCTAACATTCTAACTAACATTCTGTAATATTGTAACATTTTCTTATTACCCTTTGATTGGAATCATTTTATCTCACCCGAGCCGAAGGCTCAATTGAGCTTTTCTGATTTTTATCCATTTTTTTTTGTCTTCTGTGTGTCACCTTTTTACCTTCTCATTATAACCTTTGGTAACATTCAGATAACACTCTGTTTTGGCCATTAAGTAGTTTGAATTGTCAACTCCTTCACAGCAGGTTCGTGGTATTGTTGCTAGGTGTTCCTTACAGCTTCCTTTTTTTGTGCACCAAGGTGTTTTGGAAAACTCACTGCCATTCTTTACCATCATTGGATCAAGTCCACAACAGTCAAACTTTATGAAATGAAAAATAAAACTTATAATTAAAAAAGATCTGTTTCCATGAAGCGATGTTTATACTATATGCCATTTTTAGTCTGAGTTTGTGTGGGTTGGACAGTCTAGAAAACAATTTGGTAAATGGCACGGATAAATGAATTGTAAATACAAACTCTTACGTACTCACACGCACATTTCTTACAATAGTACAATGTAAAATGCACTATCCTGTATATTAAGAATAACTAAAAATACCTCAATACATTAGAGACTGAGGGATTATGATATAACTGCTATATCACTACTTAATTGCTCAAAATTGAACAAAGAGATAATGTACCGTTAGGAATACATAGTTCCAGGCATTAGAGACGGAATTTTCACTGTCCAGGGTGTCATTTACAAAATTCTTATCCAGTGAATCCTTCATAGCTTTCTTTACAGTGTCGTCAAACTAAATAAGAAGAAATTTCATGTCTACAAATATTCATGTGGCTTAAAAATAAATAATAGAATAAAACGGAGAAAAAGATAATTGATAAATTATTGAATAGAAAAATTTATCTGATCAACATGCGGTGATACCGTTAAATTAAAGTTAAGCTGAATCTCACCTCATTCCTCATTTGAAACCACAATATAACAGCTGCAAGTTTTATGATGAGGACAATCAACACCAATATAGCGTACTGTTGTAAAGGAAAGCGTGGACAAAATATTTTAATTTTATTGATTTATCTAATTATTCACGATGAAAGTACATGTACTTCGTTAGACAGTAGGCTAATAAAAACTTCTATAACGACAAATGCTGTGGTGTTTTTCCTCCAAATTTGATAATTACGAATGTAGTGCAAAGAGATAGTGAAGACTAGTATCTCGATGATAAGAAATCTTCTGTACATTAAAATAAAATATACAGTACATTTTCTTAAAACAAATCTCTGCTCTTTTATTCTTGATCTTCAACCTTCTACACACAACCCGCAAAAAAATTTATGATAATAATACTCGAGAAACCCTTCCTCTTTCCCAAACAAATGTTATAAGCTGTACATTTAGTCTTGAAAATTCACAGATTAGTATTAATAAAATATCTGACTGCGGGGAAAAAAAGAAAAATTAAAATGAAAAGTACAAAGGCTTAAATACATATAATTATGTCGTATTCCATTGTAGTGAAAAAAATTAAAATCATTTTTAAAAAAAACACAAACATTTTACCGTTATTTTTCTCTCTTTGCTTGAAGAAGACTAAATGTTCCTAAATAGCAGGTAATCTAAGTTATTCATACCGTAATCAGCATACATTTGACCTCACAGCAGGCGCCAATCAGGCCCAGTCCAGCGACTATCACGATGAACGCCCCAATGACGATAAAGATGATGGACAAATTGTGGGAAAGATCTCCAAGTTTGTAATTAGCTACGTTCACGCTGTTAAGGGCAGGTGTGACGTCAGAGGAAATGGCGTTTATTCTGACCAGTATTCCCGCTACCAGGAGACCCAGTCCGAGTAGCTGAAATGGTACTTATATACGTAATATGTTCCCTAATAAAAACAATGTCTGTACCCTTACACAATTATCATTTAGTTATAGTTTCTTCAAAAATAGAAGCTGAAATAAGAAAAAAAATATCTGTGTCATGTTTTTACGCCATTGTAAATTCTCAGTATCTTCATACTTTTGCATTTTAATCCTAGAAATTTTGCAAATTTACTATATATGGTCCCAGACTTTGGTGCAGTGGAATATTAGATTTAATCGCGAGAAGTTTGAAATAAATTCTCTTTGTAAAATACCTTGTGCTTATGTTCAGGGTCACCTTCAAGCAATTCTATAGCATCCATATTACACATGCTAAGGCGTTCAACTCAAATTTTCAGATGTATCGACGACGTTTCATCAATTAACAATTATAGTTATTTTCATTTATATGTCGACTCGATATATCCCAATGAACTCGAAACGAAAGCACCACAGAATCTGTCGCATATATTTCAAATTTGGATGTTTTATTGACTATAGACCTTAAAGCCAATTAACAACTAATCTGTATGAGAAACGAGATGACGTCAGCTTTTCCATTGTCAACTTTCCTTATTTATGTATTCCTCTACGATTAACGTTCAAATCTAACTTCTGCATTTCTCTATAGAGAAGTTTAAATACTCGCCGTAGCAGAATAGAAATGATTGTTGAGGAATGTACTCCTTAGTCTCGAGATTTTGTTGGCAAATAAATTCTCGCCCTTCGGGCTAGGTTTTTATTTGCCAACAAAATCTCTTGACTATCAGGATATATTCTCTAATAATTCCTCCTATGCAGGAATTAATTAAGTATTATCAAGCTATCACCTGCGTATGGTGTTCATGTCTCCCAAATTATTCGATACGCAAGAGAATTAATAAGGCTCTGAGTATTTTTAAATCGAAACAGGCTACTGCCATATAAGCTGATTTGACAGGGTTTCAACAACCTGGTTTAACGTAAGCATTTCTTAAATTCTATGTTGTTATAATTACCTTGATAGCAAATGCAAACGATCAATGGGTCGTTTTTTGACTGACATATTTCATACCAATTGTTTGGTCTTTTTTCTATACTACATTTGTCTACAGAATATTCCATTTATTTCATCAATATATAGGCCTCCCGGCGGGTGTGGCCGGTCGACAGGGGATGCTTACTTCTCCTAAGCACCTAACTCTTCCTCTGGAATTTCTGGAGGTCTGCGTTTAATGCCCTGTTCACAGATTTGTATTCTATTATTAGTAGGGTTTTTTTTCAAATCGATCAATGTTCATTGTCTTCACCTTTCTTATTACATGTTTTCAGACTGCAAGCATGCGCAATCTTCCTTTGTACTTCTTAAGCAATAGGCAACTTTGAATATTCAACCTTTTATAATCATTTTACTTTTGCTTGTGACAGGGGTTTTTAAAGCCACTTTAAAAATTTTCCAAGTTTACAATTTCTTGATCTATTCAAAATATTCCAAATATGTCATACTTTTAACTAGTCATAATGATAACTCACCTATATTGTTCTCAGTTGCAAATGTCATTTTACGATTTGTAGTATCTGTACTCTTACGGGTATGCTTTGGCCGTGCACTACTTAGATTTCTTTGCTATTCTTTATCATCTATCTAATAAATGTCCTCTTATTTTTTTAGGATAGTTCTGATTTTATTTGGTAAAGACAGCCGGACATTAAAATATTTTGGTTAAGGTCCTATCTTCATCACTTTTTTATCTTTGTATCTGATATCCACTTTTGTGCGATTCTTTTCGAGCATTCGCAGAACTTCGATCTGGATATAAGGTCGATATGCTGTTGCACGATTTTTTAGCCTTTGATTCGATACAGTCACGATTGTTTAAGAAAAAAATAACATGTCAAAAAACATTCCAAGATCAACACGATTGCCAGGATTTGCCTCAATGTCTGATAAAGTTTCATAGGATCATCACGAATAGTGCACGATTAAGTCCATAATTTCAATCGGGACGCGGATTGTAAAAGTGGGAAGACTACATTTCCTTGTGAGAATCAGATAGATGACACCATTGTTAAGCAAAATGCAGCATTAGGGAAAGGCATTGAATAGAGCCCCATTATTATAACAGGAATTCTAGGAATTCATATTGTAATATACATAGTAAGTATTATACTCTCCGAAACTGGACCATCAATTTCAGCACGATATTCTGTCCACTCGCAGTTATTTTTCATAAAACCTGTATTTTTTATTTAAATGTTGTCTCATATTGACTAGAGCCAAGCTACCTTAGGGTATCACCTTGCATTACGGACAATAGTAAACCATTTCCTTTTGTAGTTAACTACCTGTTATAATAATGGGGCTCTATTCAATGCCTGTCCCTAATGCTGCATTTTGATATGCTTTGCTTTACAATGGTGTCATATCTCTGATTCTTACAAGGAAATGAATGAGGTTTTAAAATATGTTGAAGATTAGTTTTTTCTCTTTTCCAGAGAATCTTGAAGTTAAATACAATAGAATTAGTTTGACTTCCTGATTGATGTATCGTCAACAGAGTTCAACATTCACTAGCGTATCGTTAAGGTTTCTATCGTGCTTAAGGAATGCAATACATTGTTATTCAGAATTAAAACTTTCGTAAAAAATAATGTCAACAGTAAGGAAATAGGATTTTGTATATAAACAAAAACTACAAAAACTGTCCCTTCAATTCTTTAAAAAAGAAATAAAAAGCTGAAAAAGTAAATTTTTAGAAAACAAGCCCATTTTTAATTAATTGTATATTTCATACACATATGATTATTTACATCACAATGTAAACATTGTGATAGATATATTCAAACGGTAGGTTTTAAATTTTTCACACAGTGAATTAAGTTTTTTCTAAAGGTATACTTTTTCGTTCAAACTACTTATTTTTCAAGAACATAAACTCTGAAAAGCTTACCAGGAATATTGCGTTAATGACTGAAAGATACACTTTGCCAAATTTTCCACAATTACTTAGCCCCATTTTGTATCGTTTCCGTTGATAAACAGATTTAAAATTTTTAAAGTTAAAACACGTAATAATAGTATGGAGGAGCATTTGTGCCTCAACAACTAATCTAAAGAAAAAGACAATGAGTAAAAGAGTATATGGAAGTTTCGAAAACAAAAGTTTAGCACGTGGCAAGATAAATGTGCCGGTCTTGTAAAGTAGGTTTCCACCTCTAAAATCCCCCCCCCCCCAGAAAATTGGCTTCAGAGTAGGATTTCCCCCGGGGAATAGGCTCTAGAGTAGCATTTCCCTCCCAAAAATTACTCTAGAATAGCATTTCCCTTACGGAAATCCCATACCAACTTCATTTTTCCGGGGGGGGGGGGTATACTCAGATACTCAGTGTAATAGTTTTAGAGTACGATTTCTTCCAGAGTTTTCTCCACCAATAAAATACTACGCCTGTACTTATATATAAGAGGGAAGGGGAACAACCCATTGTTACAAGTGTCCTCCTTTAAATTTCCAACAGGCGCTCTCGCAGTAGATAATCTTAATAAAACTTCACAAAAAATGTAATCTTTTTAAAAAAGTCTAGTTGTGCATTTAACATTTAAAATTTTCAGAATTGCGACCAGTTCCAATCAGTTTCATTATCACGTAGGTAGTATGGAAATTGAAAATTTTAAATATCATATTATTCAGTATCTGCACAACTAATTTTTTTGGAGTTAGTCTTATTCTGAATAAACTACTTTCTGCCAATAAAAGAATGGTACAATGTAATCGTTGGACAAATTTTTAACTTAAACCATGGAAACAAAAAGGAGCAATTTTATTTAAAAGTTTTCTTTTCTCCAGTTCAAACTACATGTACACAGATATGTTTAAATATTCAAAATAGCTGCGGTTGCAATGAAACTAAAAATGGGTCAATTTCTAAAACTTTTATGCCAAGAGAGGTGTTGAGACATCGATTTTTTGAGTGACTAATTTTACAATTTCCTACAAGTCAAAATTTTGTGTTGAGACTCAATGATTTGAACTATATATTTTATTATTTTTTACTAAATGTGGACAAATTTTTGAGTCGAAAAACAATCATATTTCCATTTAAAAATCAGTTGACTTTCATATTAACTTTTAGCCAAAATATTGTCGAAATGATTTAAGTATTGATAAATTAGGGGAAATCCTACTCTGAGAAAGAAAGAGGGGGGGATTTCACCTTAGTATGAGATTACCCCTCGGGGAGAATTCCCACTCTAAAGTACAGATTCGGGGAGGGGGGGGGGTGGCTACGGGGAAATTCTACTCTACAACACCAGTTTTTCCTCAATTTATTGCATGTTTGTTATATGAACCAGATTGTTACCAACAATAATGTCAAAGATTGTATGAGAATTGAGAAACAAAAGTAAAAAAAAGGAACAAAAATATTGAAAAATAAATATGTTCTTAAAGCTTTTACTTGAATGGCGTAAGAATGTTCCTTTCACTTTATATTGTACTGATTTGTAAATTAAGAAGAGCAGCCTTCCATACATGAAGACATGCATTACACCTGCATGTTTGAAATATATGCTTTATTATTTGGGACAATAGCTGTAAAACTTATCTAACGCAACTTTTGAAGATATTTCAATATTTTTATTTATTAATTGCTTTCAAAAGTTTAATCTCTATTTTTTTTTTAACAATCTTAAGCACTCGAGCACGATAATGCTATCAGTAATAGCAAACTAGTCTGATATATTTTCAAGTGTATATGGTTCCTGATTTTTTTTTATAAAGGTTTAAAACATAAGAGGGCAGCATTTTTACAAATCTTACACTATTGAATTACAAAACTATTTATAAGTATGATTTTTATTTATATCATACAGGGGTGGGGATGAGATGGGGGGTGTCTCAAAATGTTGGGTTATTTAGAATAAAAATTACAATTGCAGTTTAGATGACTGAACTATGACTGAAAATTCAACTTAAACCCATATTTTCCTTTCAAAGGAAATTATACTTCAAAATGAAATGACATTTAAAATATTTTCAATATTTAAAACATCAGAATTAAATTTGAACTACAATGCTTATCTATGGATTCTAACAGTTATAAAAATCCCTCCACGGATACATATTGGGATCTCTTCTGTATGTTCTACCAAACTCAACACTTCCTCCATACTGCGCAACAACATATCGAAGATTTGGTGTTAATCAGACGTGCATACTAAAAACTCCGAAGAATTTTGAGTTAATTTGAAATTACCACTTAATTTTTTTTCTATAATCATCAAAATCACATCATATGACTTTTCCACACTTAATACAATTATACGGCATGATAATTTGAAAAAGAAACTACGTTTTATTTAATACTATTGATAACTGCTTCTTTGCCACTCGAAAAAATAGATAAGTCATCTGTCCAGGAAACCAGTTAGTTAAAACATTCTGATTTTTACTACAAGCATTTTGAATTAGACATTAAATCGATGTGGAATTTTAAATTACATTTTAGTCCTTTCTAAGTGTTTCTTTGTTTAGCGCCTTGGTTTTTGAGACCCCAGATCAGGGAAAAAACACAAACACAAACTATAGAAATTAATTTTTCTGCCACAACTTTTAAACTTCCGTCAACTTTTTTGCAATTTTTTCATTAATCCGTCAAATTAGATATATACAAAGTATTTATTACCTAGATTTTGCACAGGAATATACATGTCTATGAGGAATTTAGAATTATGATGTCAAATCTTTTGAATGACTTTATGACTAAGACGTGTGTTTATTTTTCGGACCGTATTTCTTTGTGAATAGATAGGTAGGTTTTTGAATGCATAGTGGACGTTAAACAGAGAAAAAAGTTGGAATGGCCTTATGTTGTCCTTGGCGATCAGGTCTTTCAACAGTCTTTTCGAATTGACATAGGAAGTAATTGCGCCTCTTCATAAGCCGAATAATTTGTATTCTTATGGTGCAAAATTTATTCAATAAAATCTACATAAAAGGAACAATTTTCTTGCTGCAGCATGCAATTTGACATTTAGATTTATCGATTTATTAATTAGCAATATTTATCTACGAGGGTTGTTCGGAAAGTTCGTGGACTATGCCAATCTTCGTTATACTAATGCCCTGTTCACACGGAGAGTTTAATTCGCAGTAAATTAATGCGAAGTAAACTAATGCGAATTAAACTAATGCGAATTAAATTGCGTTCACACGACAGCTAATGCGAAGTAAACTAATGCGAATTAACAAATTTTTATTTCTACAGTAAGACTATTCAGTAAGGCTATTATGACGTCATTTTGCGAATCACGTCACATTGTGCCGAGCAGATACATTTGACCACTGATTTGACATAATGTCATAGTGTCTGTACACATTTTAGTGATTATCATAATTTTCCTTTGTTTTCCACTCAAAAGTAGCACAAGTACCTATATCTGACCATCGACATGTGGCCTGTGACTTAATTCTGCCCTTACGCATGCGTCAAAATTTAATTCGAATTAGCTTCGCTTAGCGTTCACACGGAGCTAATGCGAAGTAATTTAATGCGCTGTAAATTAATTCGAATTAAACTAATTCGCATTAAATTCTCCGTGTGAACGCGGTTCAAATTTAATTCGCAGTAACTTACGTTTAATTCGAATTAAACTCTCCGTGTGAACAGGGCATATCTTTAAAAAATTTAAAATGAGCACATTATCATATGTAAAAAATATTTTGTTTAAGTGTGAAGTTTCTTTGATTTAATAGAATTCATGTTATTAGTCCCCTACCGGTGAAACCGGAGGGGACTATAGGTTTCCACTGAGTCTGTCCGTCCGTCTGTCTGTCTGTCCGTCCGTCCGTCTGTCCCTCTGTCTGTCTGTCCGTCTGTCCCACTTGGTTTTCCGCACTTTTTTCCTAAACGCTTGCAGATATTGAGCTGATTTTTGGTATTTGAGTGTATCTTGATAAGTTACAGATCAAGTTTGCATTTCGTTCCGCTTCATTGATTTTTGACGGAATATCGGCCTTTTCAATTTTTAAGGGTTTTCCGCAATTTTCTTCTAAACGATTTCAGATATTGAGCTGATTTTTGGTATGTGACTTTACCTTGATTAGTTATAGATCAAGTTTGCATTTCGTCCCGCTTCATTGATTTTTGACGAAATTATGGTATTTTCAATTCTTAACGGGAACCAGATTACACTTGCCGGTAGGGGACTAGTATTGCTAATGCAATACTCTCAGAATGCTTGTTTAACTTTAAAATCAACACGTTTTGTAACTCAACAACACTCTAACGTCAAAAACATACCGACATGAGGTTCTAAAAAATACTATGATCCCTTTACATTTCACACGGTATTGCCCAATACCAGTGCACTCATGAAAAACGTTTCTCTATCGCTTGAAATCTATTTTCCTAACAATTGTTCCAGTAGCATCATTTTGTTTGTCAATGTTATATTTTTTTTCACGGCATAAGTGTGCTTTCACAAGATCAGCATCTATGAAGCACCAAACTCTTAGCATGACGTTATTAACTTTTCCATGTTTTTGATAAGATTTTTTTTTTTTTACCGATCACCATCGTCTAAGCAGAGAAGTCTTTCATTCAAATACCGCTTGTACCATGTACACAGACACACACATGCATTTCTCGCTTTTGATATATTTCCTACTTCCTCCGGCTTTTTAAGAGTTTTTTCCCAGAGTTTTCCAGAGTACAACACAAAATCGTATGATTAACTGCTGCTCCGTGACGTTCTACGACGTCATCTTTTTTGCCCTTTTCAATGAGGACTACCTATCTTCTGAAACTGATTTCTTTTCATCGAAGCAAAATATTAAGTCATAATTTGGAATCAGAAACGATGAAACAATTTTTGATTTGAACGTCTAGAATTTTTTTTCCATTTTTGTGTCATTTTACACAAGATTCGACTTCAGACATTATTTAGTGTCTTGATTGTAATTTACAAAATTTTGACCTGCTCCGTGATCCAATTTTCGCATTTTTACAGTCTAAATAAGTTTGAAATAAACCACGATATCTTAA